ACCTGTGGATTGATCCATAGGCTGTTCGTTCACGGTGATCTCCATGGATTCAGTGCCATCACAACTTTCAGCTGATGTTGGACTCTCCCTTGTAGCTATAGGTTTGTCTTTCAGTGATGGTTTCTTATCTGATCCTAAGAAATGTAAAAAAGGAACATTTTAGAAATGAGGAGTAACAATTTACCAGGTAACACTTTATAATACAGTACATCAATATTTGCATAAAGACAGATGTTTCACTTTACTTGAGTAGGTAAACAGTAATGGCAAACCAGTCCCTGAGTATTAAGGAATTACCTTACAACTATTAAATCTGACATTTCACTTTACTTAAACCGACAGAGAAATAGAAGGTACTGGTGAAAATACTGAGAAGAAAACAACTGATCAGAAATTAAATATGATGTTTTGTTTTGCTTTGTTAGTAATGGTAAAGTAATTTTGCAGTAAGAAGGAACTACTGAGTAATTACTTAGTGTGATGCATGAGGCAACAGGAAAATAGTAACTAATGGTGAAGTAATTATTAATAAATGAGTAGCTACTGTTTTGTGCTGCTCTGTGTTTGCATCAGAGTTAATGATGAAGAGTTAGACTTATTTTGAGTAATTATGAACTAATCATTGCCTTCATACACACACTGGCCTTTTTGTTAAGTACACCTTGCTAGTACACAGTCGGCCTCCTTTCGTCTTCAGAACTGACATAATTGGATTCAGTAAGATGCTGAAAACATTTCTCTGTGATTTTCCATATTAACATGATGATCATGTGGTCGCTGCAGATTTGTTGGCTGCAAATCCACGATGTGATTGAAACGCCCCACTCCGTCACATCCTAAAGGCGCTCTATTGGATTGAGATCTTGTGACTGTGGAAGCCATTTGAGGACGATGAACTCATTGTCACGTTTAAGAAAAAAAAATTGAGATGATTTGAGCTTTGTGACATACCACAGTATCCTGCTGGGAGCAACATGGGTACACTATGGTCAAGAAGGGGTGGGATGGGATGCAGGCTGTGGCATTTAATCGATGCTCGTTGGTAGTAAGGGGCCCAAAGGGTGTCAAGAAAATATGCCCCAAACCATTATGCCACCAACACCAGCCTAAACCACTGGTACAGGTCAGGCCATGTGTGAGCCTGTGCAAACTGCAGTCTCAGTTTCCTGTTCTTATCTCACAGGAATGACATCCGCCATGGTCTTCTGCTGCTGTGGCCCCTGTGCTCAACAAGGAGTTACAGTGAGGTGCTGTTGCCACCTATCAGCAGTCTGGAAAACAAGGTATTTTCTCCCAGAAAGCTGCCACTTACTGGATATTTCTTTTGTCTTTTTCTGGCCATTCTCTGTGAACCCTAGAGATGGTTACATGGGAAATTCCCAGCACATCAGCAGACTGTGAAATAGTCAGAGCTGTCTGTCTGGCACTAACAGCTATGACACACTCAAAGCTATTGAGATTACTTTCCTCATTCTGATGCTCGTTTTGAAGCAGGTTATATTAACCATGTCATGAGCTGCTGCCATGTGACTGGCCAACACGATATTTGCATTAATGGGGAGTTAAACAGGTATACCTAATAAAGTGGCCAGTGAGCGTATATACTAATGCCTTCTAGAATGTTTTAAGTTAATGATGATTATCTTTTTCCATAAATATGGTTATTCCAGGATTATTTGAGGTTATTTGGATAACTGTTTAGTTAAAATGATAACTTGTTATTTTCCTTTGTTACACTAGTCTACACCAAGAACATGGCTTTAAATGTAATAAAGACTATAACTAAAACTCTTAATCATAATTAATCATCCCAATTTTAATTAGTGGGATTGTTGCAAAGCAATGATCACAGTATATTTACTAATGCAGTTGGATTAAAGATACTGAATTCCTTCTGTAGTTGTAATCACTTATGTGCACATGTTTTATACAATCTGTCTATATCTCACCACTGAGACTTCTGTGTTCCAAACTTCCCTGATAGTATTTGGTGTATTGGGTGTGTGTCTTCCAGCGTAGTTCAGTTACCTTCGTTGCCAGTCAACTCATTATAGAGCACATGGTGTTCAGTGTCTTTAAGAACTTGAAGAAATGTTGAATACCATCCTGGTGGACATTTGATAATTCTTCTTAAAAGTTCCCTTGCGCCACTCCTGGATCCCCTGTTGACTATTTCAGCCATAATCTAGATGACAAGTGTAATGAATAAAGTCAGTTTGCTAAGCAATCAGAGAAAGGCATTGCCACCAAAAGGATGAGCGGCCTACATTTGTCTGCCATCTAGTGGTCAAAGACAGAAAAGACATGTTTTGGGAAACAGTTGGAAGAAAAGGTAAATACTGAAGCTATACTGATACTTTCGAGGTTTTTCACACCAGTGAAATTAATGTGAATACACACAGTGAACCTTTGACACTTGAATATTTTCTCTCTTACCACCAAAGCTCATGTGCTAAGCAGCATGCAGGTAAAGCAGTAGTAGTTTTGAAAGGTTGGTTGCACTATAATGTACTTACTCTGTCGCGCTCATCTATGGTGAGCAGTCTTTTACTGAAACAGTGTGCACACACTGTTTCTGTAGCCATGTCTGCAAGGCTGGGAATAAGTAAGTGAATAAATCGGACACAGTTTTCATTCTCTGCCTCAGCTTCGGGAGTTGGGAGATTTAACTGCATGTAGTCAGCTGCGAATTTACAGCCCCCGGTATTCAGTGCGTCAACGAACGCAGTGAACCATCCGGGAGTATGTGGCTTCTGAACTACTGCGTTAATAAGGTAGTCCGCAGCCGAAATATCACCATCGTTTCTGGCCTTCTGCCTGATCCGTTCCTTTTTCTCGTTTTCGATAAAGTCTATAAGATCCAGGACCCGATCCACCACAATAAGCTCCTTCAGCCTCGGCCTCAAGCAGTCGATCAGGCACTCGCGCATTTCGTCCGTTTCAGACTCCATCGGTACTCACTTAACCGATAACAGATCACTAAACTGGCTCCTGCGTTGCCAAAAACTACATTCACAGCAAACGCGATGATTCACGGTGCCTTTATCGAGGAAAATGGAGCTCTTTCACTTTCGTTTCTCCCAAGCAGTCAACATTTAAAACGGCCACTGGGTGTCACTAACGGACCACAGTAGTTCCAATAGATCAGAAAGTGACCTAAATTGACTTTTTGTAAATCGTTTATCGTACACAGTATTATTGTAACATTATTGTAGTGAACTTTCTGCATTGGCGACCATAGCAACACCTTTCTAGTACTATTGCCTGGTAGGCCAAAATCTGACCTTATATAATTCAAACTTTGAAGCACAGAGACCAGAAAAGAAAGGGAAAACGAATATTTCAAAAGCGAAAACTTCCAAGCAACTCATCTCTACGTCACGAGTTATTTTGGTCCATCCCCGGTTTCTTTTCTCCACCCTGAAAACTCTGTTATTGTTCTTTAATGTAGCGATAGAGCCAGCCAGCCAGTTGTGCCAAAACGTGATCGTCTTGTTTGCCTATACTATGAAATATATGTCAAAAATATCGATATCAGAGAGAATATTTCTGTCACGAGGTAGAAGCTACAATCAGTTTTTGGCGAAACAACGTTTATATATCACTTAGTTATCAATGTAAAACGCTCACTGACGTTAAAAATGCATTTTTAAAGAGAGACAAGGGGGTTACAGAAATTTCAACAAACATAACACAGTTACATTTAAATAATATTTCTATAAATATATTTTAAGTGGTCAAAACGAGTAGATGGATTACAATGTAGTATGCAAAAAAGCGCAAAAGTCTCCTAGGCAATATTCTTCAGGAATAGTTTTCCAGGCTTCATGAAGGACATTCACAACATTGATTCTTTGGATATTGGCCGCCTTTTGTTCTGTTCTCTGTCAAGATGATCTCACATTGCGTCAATAACGTTGAGGTCGGGGCTCTGAGGAAGCCAATCAATACCTGATAGTGTTCCATTATGGGTTTTTTCTATGCAGGTATGTTATTACTTTACTGGCTGTGTGTTGTGATGTTGAAAAATGAAGCCAACTAGATGTTTTCCAGATGATATTGCCTGGTAGGTCAAAATCTGACCTTACTTTTTTCTGTCTTCAAATTACATTAATTTTGACAAGATTTCCACCACTGGGTGAGGTGAAGGCCCAAGTCTTTGGGTCTTATACAGGTGGGTGTTGACACTCACTATTATACATATTGGGAATGATTTGAACCAATTGCCAAAAACCTCTGGTCCTGTTCTAATTTACCATACCTTTATCCTTTTCCTCTTCATAAAGAATAGCTTATTGGCAGCCACCCATCTGATTCATGTCCTGGGTCAGATCTTTGCTTTTTTTCTTATTTACTTTCAAAAACTCACCCATCAAATGCTCATCGTTCATATGCTGTAGATAGTTTTTAGGCCTGGCTTCTTCTTTTATCCTCCACTTGTCAAGTTTCTTAAGATTTTTTTTAAGAAGACACCAAACATCATGCAAAGATGTGTCAGGATTTCAGCTTTTAGCTCTGTGCAAATCACTTTCTTGGTGCAAAAACACTACTTTATGGCAAACTGTCTTATATAACTGTGTGATATTGTACTTGATTGATTCATAGGTCAGTGTTAAGTGACACACACACACACACACACACACACACACACACACACACACACACACACACACACCAAAAACAAAACAAATTCCTGTGAAAATGGTCAGCTACAAGGACTGAACTGAAAATGAATGAAAAAGCAATCAATGTCCAAACTACTGGTCAAGATTGTTTTTTTAAAAAAGGAAAGTCATGGCTCCTAAGAGCAACAATATAAAGAAATGCATTGTACGTTTGGCAGATGCTCATTAAAAACAAACAACTGCAACAAAGTATTTGACATACTGTGAAATAATCACTCACCTTCCTCAAGGACCCACAATCCTCCTGGAACACTTCATAATTCATAGTATATGTTCTACTTTCAGTTATGTACACAGCAACTGTAAACACATATACGGACTGAATAACAGAAAGCCAGCGACACAACTCCAACTGTGCGTTTTTATTTATTGCTCCCACAGTTTCAAAACTAACATATGCACTACTGTATGTTCTATAGAATACTCAATGTAATTTATTCAGTAAAAAACAAAAAAACATTTCTGGCAATGGGATGTATTTATTTCCTACAAATGTCTAACAACAACAACCTTCATTGCCAACAGAAAAAAAAACTGTACAGGGACTATATAATTCATTATGTATGGTTATTTATACATAAAGATGCTGTCTTAGCATTTGGATTTGTCATATAGGCACAAGATACTCTCTGGGGTCTGTTTATGCACAAGTACTATGTGTCCTTGTGTCCCGCAGTGCCCCTTCCTCTTCTCCCCCCAACACCTCATCCGAGTAAAGTATGCTGACATCATTTTATATTGTAATGTGCTACTTTGGGCTGACAGGCAGTGCAAAACGGTAAGCCTATAGAGACTCAAAAAAATGCATGCTTTGTAGATCCATATGAAAATAAATAAATAAATAACTACAAAACTAATAAGAATTCCCCATAGGCTGCAATAGTATATGTTATATTTCATAGGTAAGTTTTCCCAAACCCTTTAAATCTCAAACCATGATGCACTCATTTAAGTGGCCACTTTCACATTTTTCCCATACAACATAATGTTGACTTAAAAGGAACTCAGATTATTTCAACTCGTGTGATCTCATATCACGGTGTTAAAAAAAACACATGGCATAGTTCCCTATTTAGCCAACCAAAACAGGAAAAACATGCTGTTGGCTGTAAGCAACAACTACAATCAAATGCCACATGGCCCGTAAGTGTTCTTCTGTTCTCCAACAAAGACTGATGGAGCTTATCAGACACTTCGGATGCAGGTGGCTGGCAGATGTGCGCGAGCTGGTCGTTATGGACCATGTTTACGTGTGTGACTATTAAACTGACTAAACCCAAGACTAAACAGTCTTGGGTAACGAAAAGAAAGGGGGGCTGTATTATTTCACCGTCGACCTGAAAACAGTTGAACAAAATACGCGCTGTAATATCTAGACATTAAGACCAAGACTGTTCCAACAATGTGTCACTTTTTTAATTCGCAAACGTTTTTTAAATAACAATCAAATTGCTGTTAATCTTAATATAATCAGGTATGCACATCTTCATAGTCAGAGTTCCTTTAACACTTTTGAATAATTATATTGTAAGAGAAAAATGAGAAAGTAAGTTATAAGACACAAAACATTTGATATGATTTTTTTCTATTTCTTTTCTAAATGTAGAAATGTCTATATCATACTTCTCCAAACGGCGAAAAAAACCCCTCAAATCTGCATGTTATATTTTTCCAGATAAGTATGTATAGTGTATTCTGTTGGCTTAACATTGTACACCAGGTGCACATTAGTCATTGCAGTAATAAAGCACATTGTTTATAGAAGAAAACCATAGTCTTTTTTTTTTTTATACTGTACAGTATATTGCAGTGCAATTGTCCATAACCCCTGAGTCACACTTCAGAGAAGACAGGCATACAACATACATCAGAAAACTCTTATTTGTAATAATGCTGTATTCCACTAATGGCTACAGAAGACTTATATTTCTTTCATATACAGACTCATTACTCCTAAAGCCTGGAATGTTTTTATGTGCCCACACAGACTTTACACTCTAAACGGGCTCTAACATTAATGACCAGGCTCATCCGTGACTGTTGCATCATGTAAGATAATCTCCACTGTACTCAGTGCCTCAGCGTCAGGTGCTAGGAACTGCATTCTGCAAATGGAGAAAGAAAAGCTGTGCCGTCATTTTTCTGTTGTGAAAAAGCCACCTCCTCACGTTTCCGGTGCTCACGTGTTTTGATAGCAGTGCAGGTACCTATGACTCGCTCACATCTTTGTTTCCAAGTCTCAGGTTGGACAGGTTAACTGCCTAAACAAACATGTCTGTATTCAGCTGCTGCCAGCCAGCCTTGGTAACAGTAATGGGTTGGCTCCTTTCAGCGTTCACAATATTTTAGTTGAGGCTTTCATGTGTTCTTGTCTGCTGCTCTGAAGTATAACAAGCAACAATGATCACTTGCATTGAACTTTGGCAGAGAGTAATACAGTTGCGGCTCTCTGTTGACACCCAGCGTCTGGAGAGATAACCTTTCCCTCTTCAGACTACAGGCATGAAAGGATTGAAAAAAGGCTCGATGGGGTTGTTGGCAAATTCTTGTGTAAAGACTTTTAATTTGCTTGGCAGTGTGTGTTAGTCCTGGCTTTCTACAGCCTCCGCTCTCTGTGGATTCTGCACTTGAGTACTGGTAGTATGTTAGTTAGCTTAAAACTAGCACCTTATCCACCAGATGACCCACTTTTGTCACTTTTAAATGACTCACACCTATTGCTCATAAGATGTTATGAAATGCTAGTACAGTAAGTAGTCGTGGTGCCACCATCACCTTCAACTTGTTTTTTGAGAGTATATTTTTTCCACAAGTTCCTCTATTTTTTGTATCTTTCTTAATACTTTCCATGAATGTTCATCATCCACAGACCCCTCACTGAGGAACAGCTGGCTGCTGTTATGCACCGCACCTCCTGGTGTTTTTGGCAATTCTGCTGCAGAACCTGGTGAGTTATTGTATCCACTGTGGGGAGGTGGAGATGCCAGTCTTTCCCTGGTTTTGCAGATACCAGCAGGAGGAACCCTATTTGTCTGATGACTGGAGCCTGTCTACTGTGAGGTAGGTCAGTCGGCTCTTCTTGCTTACACTTGGAGCTAGTGTCACTATCCACACCTTCGATTTTACCCAAGCCACATAACCCATGCTAGTGTGACCAACTGTGTGGGAACATAAAATGCTGCAATAGTGTGTCTGCAAAAACCACAAAGTCCGTTAACTAGAAAAGCATTTGCAAAACACATTGGTTGTGTATTTCTATCACAACCTAGTGGAGACCAGCATTCTTGCAGAGTAAGAAGAATTTAATTAAAAATGCTGAAATGCTGTCCTCATGGGTTAAATAGGTGCATCAAGATTAAGTGGGCATCACCATGTAAGTTTAAAGAGCAAAAATGAATGAGGATGATGATGATTATGGATTCAATCCTGTTTTGACAGAACTACTGTTAAAATATGTAACTATTGTTACATATTATACTGGCAGCTGCAGGAATAGTTTCTTAATTCCGTGTCAACCACGTAAAACAGTGTTTTGTCTTCATGCACAATGTAAGAACATCTCATTTCTAATACCAAGCCACAGATGACTGTGCCAGCATGCTGATAAAAGAAACTGCTACTTAGTAATTACAGCATTACAACCTCAATATTAGAATACCGTGCTGCAGAAAAGATTTATGGCCTTGGAGACTCTTGGTCTGAGGCAGGTTTATGGAGTCCAGTGGCATTGAGGTTGGAGTCTGAAGGTGACATGGAAGAAGAGGAAGCAGAGTTTTCAGGTGGAAGAAGGATCAGTGCTGACTGTTGATGCCCTGTGGATGGTTGTTGATGCTGTTGTGCCTCTGTATGTCTCTGCACAAGAAATTCTTTAAGGCTGTCCTCAGTGGGTGCATTCACACTGGCCAAGCTCAACACAGAGTCTTTAGATTCCTGAATGGTGCTCCCTAGTTTTTGGTTGGGGGCCTAAAAAAACAGTTTTTGACAATAATAAGATCTTAGTTGCCTGTGCTGGGGTAAATAATCTCATTATATATATACATTTAATATCCTGTTTCAGATGTGAAATTATATTTACCCTTAAAACACAACTGTATTTGTAGAAAACAAACAAACCAACACGTTTTTAGATGTGACATTTAGTTTAACAGTATGAAAAAGTGAAGGGAAAGGTCTCAATGTGTACATAAGTGGAAAATAAATGCTCTATGTAAAATTATGTCTACCAACTAAAGTGATGGCATCCTTACTTGAGTTCCTGCAGAGCTAAAGAAATGGCTTGCATTCAGAGCAGCCGGCTGAACCTTCACTGCAGATCTGTGATAGTCTGGATTAGCAGTCACAGTGCTGTAGGCAGGCGGTCCCAGAGTTGGTTGCCTCTGCAGCAGCTGCAGGATGGCCTGCATATCAGATAACAGCTGAGATTCTAGCCTAAAAAAAAAAAGGAGTGATGAGCAAAAACAGACAGATATACTGTATAATATTAGCAAAAGATAAGTATGAAAAGAAAGAGTATTTACGTAACTCGGACAGTGTGAACCTAACTGTGCGTGACAATGGCTGAAAGCACACTCAGATGTGCTTCACTGAGCACTAGATGGAGCCGTTGCTCTGGACAAAATTAAGAGACGGCAACGGTGTGGAAACATTCTGTCAAAGCAATAGATGAAAGACATTGCCCCTGCTAGGAGCGATAATGAGCTTTGTGTGGGACATGTGAATTCTGCATTTACTGTGCAAATAACTATTATACTCATCTGGTAAATCTAATTAAGTCTAGATTTGATCAAAGTTCTATATTTAGGACTTAAGGCAAAAACCCCCAAACCCAACGTGTATTCCATCTAATGCACAAAGACACTGTCAGCCTTTTTGTTTTCCTCATTTAATATGCTGTGGCTCATGAGACACTAAGTAAAAGCAGCCACACAGTATTTTTCAGCGTACCAAACAATATTTTTCTTGGCTATTTACATAGATGTGTAAAAGAGAAAGGCCACACCGACATTTTTTTCCTGCCACATATGCTTTCAGACTAGTCAAAGCCACAGAAACACCAAAATGACAGAGAAGTGCTGCTCATCCTGCAGCCAGCCAGCATTAAAAAAACAAGGTCAGGTATAGTGCAGTGGATAAAATGCCTTATTTGTGCTTAATAAAATGAGCTTGCCCAGTATTTCAGGCACCCTGATGCGATCTTTCGTTCTCTGTGATAATTCCAGCTAAAAATACCATCTGCTGTTCATTTGCGTGTCCGTTTCAGGTGGCTGCTGACTGCAGGTGTGATTCTGAAACTACTGCCAAAGATGTGTTTCTACATTCCAGGAATGACAAAAATAAAATCTATTCATTTTAGGGAAGGTAAAGTACAACGTAGCTGCTAGAAATCAATCTCACCATTTTGTTTCTATCATTATAAATTGTTTCAGGCACATTTTTTTCTGAGCGCTGCTTTGCCATATAAAGACTTTAGTACCAGGTCATTCTCAAGTTTGATTTGCGCCGGTCCTACAATGTTGCATCCTGCTTCCATTAGATCCAACCTCCCACTCCAAGTCCGACAATGACTTCTGCCAGCTAGTTGCCGTCCTCCACCTACTCCTTCACATTTGGTGTAGCCTACTTTTAGCAGTGTGGGAGGTGACATCTTAAAAGAATAAAGCACTGCCTTATCATTTACTGAAATTAATAATAGCATTTATCTGAAAATGCAATGATAAATAAGAATAGTGACAAATATACCTATGCTGTCGCCACAGAACATACCAGAAAATGCTCTAGAGAAGTCCAGTTGCAAAAGACTACCCGAATATTTTTGTGCACAGTGAAAATCCATCATACATTCAATATCCGCTCAAATTAGACAATGCAATTGATAGATAAATCCATTCTTTCTGTTTTTAAGAACTACTATTAATGTTATATATGTAGACTTGAAGACAGTAGAAAAAATAACAACCAATTGAACAAACAGACAAATACATAAACACATAATGCCTCTAGATAAGGCTGCTTCTCTCCCAAATCAGTTTTTTTTTTCTTTTTTTTAAAATGACATCAGAAACAGCAGTATGCGACATTACGTGATGGCAGAGCTTCAGTTCATCCTTTGTCATTTTTTTTTTTTTTTTAAAAATAGGACAGGGGGAATGAATGAGAGAAAGAGGGGGAGAGAAAGAAAGAAAACCAAAGGGGAGAAGAGACGGTGAGAAGGGGGGGGGGAGAAAAAAAAAACAACAACAAACTCCTGGGTCCCAAATCAGTTTTACAGAATGTTTTGAAAAAATGGAAAAGGCTCCATTTAAAGCCACCATGAGTCACAAGTGAAAATTTGTGACTTTTATGGCGCGCTCGGTTGCTGTAATGTCAGACGTTACATCAGCAGTAGCTATGGTTTACAAATGAGATTTAGATGTTGAATGGAGAAAGTGAGGGGAACAGAGAGGAGCCTTTACCCTGCACTTAAAACTGGAAAAAATATTCCACTCTGCTCCTTCTGAGTCATTTTAAGTGAAATGTTCACTCATATGACTCCATGCATTTTTAATGGGCAGACTGTTGAATCTACCAGTTCAACTGCTGGGTAACAAAAATAACTAATCAGCAAATTACACAGCAGCAACTCAATGCATTTAGTCATGCAGACATGGTCAGGTTGACCGGCTGAAGTTCAAACTGAGCGGTTGGGGAAAAAAGGTGGTTTAAGGGACTTTGAACATGGTATGGTTGTTGGTGACAGATGGGCTGCTGGTATTTCAGAATTTCTACTAATCTACTGACATTTTCTCACACAACCATCGCTTTACAGAGACTGGTATGAAAAAGAGAAAATATCCAGTGAGCAGCACTTCTCTAGATGGAAATGCCAGAGTTCAGAGGAGAATCGCCTGGCTGCTTTGAGCTGATAGGATGGCAACAGAGACTCAAATAACCACTCACTATAGCCAAAAGAGTATCTCTGAATGAGAACCGTGTTGAACCTTGAAACAGATGAGTTACAAGAGCTGAAGACCAGATCATGTGCCATTCCTGTCAGATAAAGACAGGGAACTGAAGCCTCAATTCACATAGGTTCATCAAAATTTGACAACAGAAGATCAGAAAAATGTTGCTTGATCTAACAAGTGTCGATTTCTGTAGCAACAACTGGATGGTTGGGTCAGAATTTGGCATAAACATGAAAGCATTGATCCATCCTGTGTTGTATAAATGTTTCAGGTTGCTGGTGGTGTAATGGTGTGGGAGATATGTGGAGCAACTGAGTGCTATCATGTCAACATAGGCCAAAAAAGACAACTTCAGTAAAGGAATGCCCCTGGATAAATGTAAAAAATGTAATCCTATTTTCTTCAGAACAAGTAGAGTTCCAACTTTAACTTCAAAGTTAACCTAAACTTTTCACATTAAAATTAAAGGAGAGAAGTTTTAACATCATTTACTTAAGTAAATTTAGACAATAATCTAGAAATACCGTCCAAAACAGCAACTCTTTGCACCATCTGATAAGATGCTGCACTGTTTCCAAACAGAGATGTGCTAAGCGCAACTGGTAAGTTTAAATGAGAAGAGAAATTTCTGCAATTTCATGTGGTGCCACACGTGAGCTGTGTGGCTGAAATGGCAAACCATTGGTAAAAGAAAAAGGGTTAGTCAAAAAAAAAAGAAGAAAAAAAAACAAGCACTGTTATTCACACTAGAAAAGTTCACATTTTCGGGTAATTCCTAGTTTATGACAGCAAAGTGAAGCTCAACCATCTGCATGCTGACTCTAAAAATATGTACCTGTTTAAATGGTCCTGAAGCTGACCTAAGCGTTGTTCCACCTCTCCATATGTGATTTCACTGGCAGAATTATCATCCTCTCTCAGGTCCTGGAACTGCGCTGACTCATCCAGGTAGTCTGTAGGCTTCTTACAGGCCCATTTATCACAGCACAGATCTGGAGGACCAAACCAACATGCATGATTTACATCCTCACTTGCAGGTCAGAGCAACGTCATCACTAAACATTACTAAAATAGAATATAATTAATCTCTACAGCAAAGCTGTGTGTAGATCCTTTGTTGTAATTTATCACACTGCTATACCAGGAGAATTATTATATCGGTGTTTTCCAGTTGCAAACTAACCCTGTTGTTATCTCTGTTTGGCACATGGTAGTATTTAACCTGCTGTCCAGTGATATGTGTGGAGCCTCTTTTGTTGTTTTAAACAGAGGGGTGGTTAATTCGGTGATTAAGTTATCTCACTGAACAGACTGTGCAGGTGGCTTTGCACTAATACAATGAGTTGCATAGATTCGTTTAGAGTTTGGGCTGAGGGTGCATTGACAGTCGTTCTCTCGGTTCGACTTTGTATCACGTAGAACCCCAGCTCCAAAACAGTTGGGATACTGGGTACATTTTAACTGGGTAAATTTCTTTTCTTTTCAATAAAACATAGAAAATCAGGTCATTTTAAATTTGATTATAGCACATATAAACAACAGCACATGGCCTATTGAATCATGCCATTATTTATTTAAAAAAAAAGAAAAGAAGAAGCCAAAATATAGAAATGGTGTGTGGAAAAACCAAGTATATCCCATGATTCAGCACTTTTACAGCAGCAGTAACGTAAAGTAATTTGAAGTAATTGTTTTCTGTATGACCTTATCAGTCTCTCATATCATTGCGGGGTGGGTTCACACTTGACTCTAGAATACTTTGGTATGCAGAGGAGTTTAAATGACTGCAAGATACTCAGGTCCTGTGGCTGCAAAATAAGCCTAAATCCTCACCTTCCCACCCTCGATTTGGCAGTTGGTAATACACTGTGTTTGGTTTTCACCAAATGTGGTGTTGTGCATTGTGATCTGGTTTAAATGATGGTTTGTTTACAAGAAACTCTACAAACTTAACCTTGCAATTTACAATTTCTCTGATTTACTAGTGTGTCCACTCCTGGAATGACTGGCAACTGTCTTGAATGTTTACCACTTATGAATAATCTTTGTCACTGTAGAATGATGGACGTAAAGTATTTTGGAAATGGCTTTATTACCCCTTTCAGACTAATAAACTGCAGCAATTGGTTCTGAGACCACTGCTGATGTCTTCCCTCCTCAGTATTTTGTTAATGCACACCTGAATGCTCCAGCTGAGCAGTTGCTGCTTTTGGTCCCAAAGTCACGGCTATGGCCAAGCGTTCTCTGTTGCAGCGCCACTGCTTTGGAATAACCTTCCTCTCCATATTAGACAGGCTACATCAGTGCCAGTTTTTAAGTCTTTATTAAAAAACTATTTTTATTCTCTGGCTTTTAACTCTGTGGATAACTGATATTTTTTTTAATGTTCTTTTTTATTGCTATGTCTGGTTTTATTACTATGTACATATTAGTATTGTACAGCACTTTGGTCTACCAGGTGTGTTTTTAAAGTGCTATATAAATAAATAAATGATGATGATGATGATGAAATGAGCAAACTGTCAAAAGTTATTTTCTACAGAGATAACTTGCACGGGCTGATGATTTTTTGTCTGAAGGACTACAGTTGCATGCTGTTCCTTTGCCACCTGCACTTATAAAATTGTCTTCAAAAGAATATTAAATGTAGAATAATTTGTGGATGGAATCATATCAATAGTGATCTACAGCATGTAAGGCATTTGTCTGGATACTGGACTAGAAAAAAAAAATTAAGAAAAACTGCAAGACCCTGCAGCTCTTCATATGCATGTCTGCAAGGGAGAATAATGCAGTCTTAAATCTATGATTTTTGAGACAGATGACATCCTGTCTCTTAGAATTATAATCAGCTGAGCAGCATTTTGGCAGAAGGCAACCTAAATATTTAAATTCCCAAGGTTTTGCTCAAAGCAACTCTAGAAGCCTGGGAACATCCCAACACTCTCCACACAACCAGTCACCCTCTTAGAGTTGCTAATGCAGCGTCAAAGACATTGTCCCTCAGTGTCTTCCCACCACTCACATTAGTGTTTGTCCTACAAATATTCATCACGATTTGCAACACTGCTTTGAAAGTCCTTGCCAAAAAAGCTACGATTTTATTCACCAGATACTTACAATTCATCTGTAAGACAAGATCTGTTACCTTCAAAAGGTGGTTTTCTGTCCAAGCTGTCTCTGACAATAACATCTGAGTCTAGGCCTGGAACTGTGAGTGAAGAGCGACCCAGAACTACTGAAGATCTCTTTAGGCACGAGTTAGACTCTCTCTCCCTTTGAACTTCTTTAACCATTTCTTTGCTTTCCCCTGTAGAATGGCAATCAGCAGGAGTCAGTGGAATAACACCATATCCCATAGAGGACAGACTTTTGCATATCGGAGCACCATCCATGAATAATAACAAAGAAAAAACTTTGCAGCCACAAAGCATGCTTGACAAGGTTCTCCTGTATGTTTCTACTGACCTTTAGACAGATCTGCTGTGAAAGAGATTCTTCTTTTCACATTTTTATTGTCCTCACCATCTGAATCACTTTCTTTGACACTACAGGGCTGCAAAATTAAAACACTTCAATCAGAAAATGTGTCAGTTACCAAGAATAAACAAAAAAACATAATTTAGGCAAATTACAATATGAATACTTGTTATCAAAACACCCATTAAACACATAGGTCCAAAAAGTTCTTACATTATCTGCCTTAGTGGAGTCATCTCTGAGGTTGAAAGTAAGCTCCAGGTTGTTGAAGAAGTGATCTGCAAACTCCGGGTACATGTCTAGCACCTCCAGCAAATCTTCTCGCTGAATGGTGCTCAGGTCACAGTAACTCAGAGCCCGCACATCAGCGTTAGACTTTCCAGGCTTGGCATAGAGATGGATCATTTCTCCAAATATGTCATTTTTACCTGGAGGTGACAAACACACAAACAACAGGTAATCTTGACAGTTTTAGTGGGAAGATGTAAAAATGCTGACTTGAGCTACAGTGAGTTCCAAAAAAAGGCATGACGCAGGCATAAATCTCTGCTGCGATTACAATAGGAATTTATTTATCACTCTGATTTCACTAAGGGGCGCAGACGTGTTTGTTTTTGTGGATAATCAAAATCAGACAGCCTCTAATTTCTGTGTAGATGGTCTCCCAGGGCCTGCACATCAGTTGTCTTTCTAGCTTTGATCCATTATTTATGTTGAGGAGTAACTACTAACACACAGCAGCTTTGATGCGATGGGTAAAGGAGGGCTTGATTGCAATTGACACACTTTACTTGTGCACTTCAAAGGCAATTTTTGCACTGATTTTGGCTATCACATAATTAAGCCAGCTCTTCAGTGAACTTGCAAAAAGTGAAAAAACCCAAAAAATCTACGGTAAGCTTAGCTTTTAGTCTGGAGAATAAAAGAGCTTCCTTTGCAGAAATAAGGGCCCATTTTCCAAAGGACGAGAGGCCTGGTTTAAAGGGCATCATGAAAAATCCCTTTGTTGGTGTGGGGGGTTCACTAAATGCCAACAGTGTAAGCAGGGGTTCAGAAGAAAGAGATATGATATGCTGGCTGCCAGTGTGCCTTTCACAGCATGCACTGGACACCTTTCGGCCACAGAGGAAAGCCTCACACAGACTGGTGTGTCTCTCCCCCGCACACAAACACAGAGCTCTCCCCACAATGATTGATTAGGATAAGAGATTAATTCCTCACCTGTAGAACAATGCTAATAGCCTTGCTGGAGTCATGATCATTACAAGAGAAAAATACTTTAACACCATGGGCTGACCATTGCCATGTTAGAGGTTGGTATAGTTCCCCATGTGAGAATAAACTATGGTGATGGAGCATTATAATTATGCTTGAGTGGCTTTTCCACGATAATCACTAATAACACGTTTTGTGTGATGCAGCAACCTTTGCGAAGCTGAAACCTCATTCTTTCAGGTGCAGCTTTAGTGAGAATTAATCTCATGAATAATGAATAAAATCTAATCCAGGCCCGGTCTGGAGTGCATGAATGAAGTTTACCCATGAAGAAAAAATAAATAGACATTTTTCCAGTAATGGTATTTTAACATTGATGCATCAAGCTCAGTATCAATACATAAAGAATGAAAAATATAGCTTCAAATTTAGAGCTGCTAGTTGTTTTAGCCAAATCTGCTTTTTACTGACATTATTTTAATACTCTCTATTTTGCAGCTTCAACTCATTTCCCAGTGCTGTCAAAAAAGTGGCACCATTTTCACTGCGTTCTTTGAAACTGCCAGACAACCTTCCATGAGGCCACTTAATAGAAATGCCAGAGTGTCAAACCTGTCACACAAACACCCCAGAACACTCACAGAAAATGAAATGTGAAAACCCACATGAAGGCACATTTTATTTTGAATTTTCTGATGCTAAATACGCCAAGGTCCAGAACATCTGTGCACATTGAATTCACATGTGGGTACTAGAATGTTTCTTGTACAGTATGTGCTTCCTCTCTGACTATATAAACAAAAGGTAAATCTTAAAGATCTTTTTACAAAATCAACAATAAGCTCAAAACAGTATGAGACTAAATTAGACCTGCCTAAAGTTTTAGTTAGCTTGGTGCTGACATTTAACACACAGTCAGCTGAGAGATCTAAATACAACAGGGAGGTGACATTGACTATTACAGTTCATCACATTTCCAGGTGGAGGCAGAGGATTTTATGTGTAGCAGAGACTGACATTATATGCATACGTTATAAAACTCCTGATAGACATTGGCAAAATGTCAAACAGCACAAAAAGAGTTTACTCTGGGTATAAAAAAATTCCATACAGGACTTAAATTTAAAAGCTCTTAATCAACTGAGCACCTTCCACCCAACCTACTTATTGTAATTGAGACAAAATATCAAATAAACACTAGATGTTGGTACACATCAGTAAAATGATCAACAAGGGGTTGTATTTACCCAGGATAGCTACCACAATGTCATCTTTCAAGATCTCAATAGAACCACGCGACAGAAAATAGAGAGCAGTGAGCACATCACCACCGTGGACCAGAGTGTCTCCGGGAGGCACATGAGCGGAATTGAAGCGCATGGCCAAGGCCCTCAAGCATCCTTTGGTGGCTCCTTGAAAAGCTTTGCAGTTGTCCAGAAGACTCCTGTTGAGGTGAAGGCAGATATCTGCCTGTAGGCACTCGGGAAACCCTTTTAACACCTAAGATGCGGAGAAAAAACAGTAAATAAAGTGCTCAAAACATTTGTTTGATATCCTTACAGAGATGTGTTTCAGAGATAATTGTGACCACATCATCAGATCAGTTTGTCAAGCTTTGTTCTCTCAGATACAAAAGCACACGAAAAAAAAGCACTTTCAAAAGAACTTTGTATAGAGGTGGCCTCTAAACTTGTGAGTTTTTAAAGAAAACAAAGCAGCCATACACTTGAGGTGGGCTGACAAATACTAGTATTTTGCAAAGGATGGCACTAAAAGGATATTCTCCCCTGTTGATTTTAAGAATTTAATTAATAGCATAAACACAGGCATGCAAGGAAACGTGAAGTACATGCAGGCTTGAATGGATGCTGCCATTACAGAGAAAGGAGAGCATAAGACATATGAAGATATTATGCATATTTTTCAAAAGAAATAGGCTGTCATGACATTGAAATGATTAATCTGAATAAACTACACTATAAGCTGAACCGGTAACAAAGCAGATCAGAATCAAAAGTGTGCTATGCGTTTGCATCTACACCTGTTAATCTAGTGTAGTTATGCACTGAATTCATACTCTGATATATAGAATGTACTGAGTGAGTCCATCAAACACTACGTTTACATAACTTACTAAAGCTGAGATACAACAGAAGCTGTGTTTTTAAAAGAATAATGTAAAGCAAACTTTAGACGTTACAATAGTAGAGATGTGGTAAGTATTCAGAAAATTACCAGGAGCTAATTCATGGGAATGTAATGGTTCACAAAAAATGTAACATTTGCCTTTTTTTTCTTAAATAAAGGATTTATTTAACCGTCATTTTCAAAAATGTACCTGGGAATAGAGGTCTACTGGTAAACTTGTACTATTACAATCTCAAATGTGAAAAAAAATCTTTGTATGTCTCTAAGTTTAACGTCTTCATTTTATTATATTACTTCCTTCCTCATCATCACAGTATCTGTTGGATTTCCTCACACATGTCCAATTAGCCAGTCGGTCACTTTGGTATATACAGCACCAGTTGTCTACCTCCCATTTATCAGAATGTTTTTGTATTATGCTTTTAATCTTCCAAGGCATTCCCTTCTCGCCTGTCCCCAGTTAGATTTATTTGCTACAATGCCTGACCTTCAGTGTCTGACCTTAACTTTGATTAGAGACTATCATGTTGAACTTCAGTCTACCTCCTGTGTCCTGCATCTGGGTCTTCTAACCCACAGACTGTAGACAGCATAATGAGGTTCTTATTTTAAACAGTGATCAGACAGAAACCCATTTTAAAAATTTAAAGAAATTAAATATGTACCTCCTGCTCTTACCAATGAAGAGATGTTAATCCAATTGAAAAGCAGACAAGGGAGAGAAAAAAAGCTCTTTTAGTAGCATGTATTTATATTGTCATCAGTGCAATCACTTGTTTTGTTGGATATCCATATCCATTACAGGGACAGGTGGATGAGTGACTTCAGTTATTTACCGTATTCATATCAATGCCATTAGTGTAGGTCCATGAATGCTGGAAGTACTCTTCCAGCCTTTGCCTCAGAGGGTTGGGAATTTGATGAAAACGGATGAATTCCTTGACCCGTAACATTTGAGCATGATAGCGGGCCGTACCCGAGTAGAGCCTCTGGATGATGGCAGAAACATTTCCAAAAATGCTGGCATACATCAGGGCTGAAATAAAAAAAAAGCAATGAGTGAAGAGAGGGTACTGTTTTTACTACAGTCAGCATATTTACTGCTGTTACCCATGAAGACACTGGTAATTTGATAGAATGTCAACACATTCTGCTTAAAACATATACAATGTATTGTGAAGGACCTGGAAAAAAGATTTTTTGATTTTTGCTCAAAACCCATTCAAGTGATAACAAAAAGAATAAAATAATGGTAAATTGAAATACAACCTGAAAAGCATATAAAATACTCACAGCCAATCAGCATGACACATATGGAAAAGACCTTCTCTGAGTTGGTGTTGGGGGAAACATTTCCAAAGCCCACACTGGTCAGACTGCTGAATGTGAAGTAAAGTGCTGTGACATACTTGTCCTTGATAGAGGGACCAGAGTTAGGATCACTGTAGTTGTATCGCTTTCCAATTGACACGCCCAGATTGTCTAGCCAGCCAATCCTGTGTTCCAAGTAAGGCTTCTCCACATTGCCAATGGCATACCATATACAGGCTAACCAGTGGGCGATAAGGGCAAAGATGCACATGAGCAACATTAGGACTGCAGCTCCGTATTCAGAGTAGCGATCCAGCTTCCTGGCTACACGCACCAATCGCAGAAGCCTTGCTGTCTTCAGCAGGCCAATGAGAGTGGTAGTCTAAAACAAAAATACAATAAGGAAGATTATTAGTAATAGCAACAGTAGTTTGGATGCCAGATCAACGGTTTTAGATATTGCTTCATCATGCTAAAAGATCTGACATGTTATCTACTACTTATCTACTAAACTTGTCTGCATGTGTATTTCCTTTATATTATCAACAAGTCTAAAACTGTGGCCAGTTTCACAGTCACTTCACAAACTAATGAGCTTCCTTGAAAGAAAAAACTGGATAAGACACCCCAGAGCTCTTTGGTCAAAGGCAAATTAAGTGAGAAGTAAGGACACCAGCAGCCCACAGATAAATCTTCATTTGTTCAATCCTGAACACAGAGGCACACTCATTTAATGGGTCCCTGGGAGCTGTGTAGCTGCTATGTGTCAATAAGAAATGTGTTAACAACTGTAACTGCAATTCCTATTAAAAGGACCATTTGTTTACCTGACAATTACAGAAGAAAAAGTCCAACAAGAAACAATGACACTTCGTTCATAATCACTTCTTTATATCGTTTACCATTAGTTATCTAAAGGTAAATGAACAAAATTCCACATCATTCTTCTATAAATATTTCAGAATTTCTCTATCTTTTATCAAAATGTTGACAGTCATTGCAGCACAGGTTTACCATTGGTGTAATTTTGGAGGAAATGGGACCGCCACAGTAGTTTCTAACTGAGGGTTTAAACTTAAAAAGGGGTTTGATATCTCCCCATCACTGATTTATAATATTAACAAAAATGTACTTTAAAATATTTTCTCACAAAGCAGAAGAAAAAGGTAATATCTTGCATTTCTGCAAACTTCAAATACAGCAGCTTCAGTTTCAATCTGGACACAAACACATTGCATGTGAATGTTATAGTAACCACTCATGGCAGTTTTGAGGCATTTTTGGTAGATTAAGAACACTGAATGAGGGTAAGCTACAATATCTAATTATTGTATATATACAATAACTTATTGTACGCGATACGCTATACACTATAGCCATATTGTATGTGGCCATAGCGTAAAATAAATGACATTTATTTTTTTTACATGACAAATACTTTATGAGGAACAATGGCATGCACATTTAAAGTTTCTTAGCCCCAGATGCACGTATTTCCTGTTAGCCAGAGATGGGCAGTAACAAACACATACTTTGTTACTTTACTTAAGTAGAATTGTTATGTATCTATAATACATACATACCTTTTAACAAAAATATATCTACTTTCTACTACTTCTACTACTACTTTAGGCTTAAACCATTTGAGGGGAGTTATTTCTTGCCACAGCATGCCTTCAAACACCAAACTAATTTGAATCTAAATGGAGGGAACAATAACATATAAAACACAACCTTATTGGTGTATCACCCACTTGTGCTTATCATACACAAAGAGTTGAAAGAGCCAAAAAACACATAATTTATGCATCATTAATATCACCACACCTAGGTGTTAAAGTCAGCCAGAAGCATTTTAGGTGCAGATATCTGTAAGTCGAAGTTACTGTTCTTCAGGATCTATTGCTACACAGCAAGCACAAAGCCAATCACTTCTTTCTTTTTGTGTTTTCAATGGCAACTCATTTCAAAAGCCACATTTCTAGCAGTTAAACAAATATATCGTACACGATGTGTTGCTGAAATTATGATTTTCATTTGTTTTTTAAAGGTTGCTTCATATACTAGTTGTTTTAAATCAGGCAACACTGGCTACTTAAAATAGTCCACTTTAAAACAATGCAGTATGTTGGACCAATGCAAAGCAGCTATAGTGGTCATGGTTAACATCAAGTGTAGCAGACAAATTTAAGGTGATGATGCTGATCAGATTCATTCATTGAATTCTGTCTTTACACTAGATTTATGCTGTCTGGGGTGGGAAATCAGTCAGAGATAGAGCATGTAACCCCAGCTTAAATCTTGTCAAATTGAGTTGGCTAAATCCACAAAGAGCAGCAGCACAGGTCAGTTCATCACAGCCTGTTCACAAAATCTACTGAAGCTCACAACAACAATTATTGTGACTTATTTGTGATTCTTTCCCCCACACTGCTCCACTATAAGTGATCTTAGGGTTCCCATACCAGTTGAATTCCACTTTAACCCTTGATTATCCTCATTTTCCTGTGTGGACGCAAACTGCAATGAAGGCAACAACTGAAATAGAACTGAAATAAAGCCTTCATTCATATCATTGTATTGGTATTATTTAATCATAAAATTAATATGACATGAGCTTCAGTTAGCTTTGCGTATAGCAGCTGGTAGAGGAGCAGCTATTTTTTTTAATATAATACCTCTTTACTTTAGAGCCTCCACTTTTTTGCTGTTACTTGATCAACAAAGTTGAATCACTACTTTGTGTACTTCTACGTAATGAATATGTCTACTTTTATCACCTCTGCTGTCAGCTATTTTATGATTGCTATTCTTGGCATGTACCAAAATGGTTTCTTGTGAAGCACTGATGGGGCATTGGCTATGGGTTAACTAAATTTGTGTCTCTGTGGCCTGTATTTGTTGAATTCCCATCATTTTTTCTAACCAACACTAGGACAGAACCATTAATTTGCCTTAAAGTATTGTAGCAATTGGTGATCATTTTCTCATTCCCTTCCATATGTCTACACTCTCTTGTTCAATCTCTCCAGTTAAGTCAAGAATTTCTTGGCTGTGCTTTAATTAAAAGTCTGAATGTCAGTCAGATTTAGACAAGGTGTTTAAAGTCAGAAATAATATCACAGGGCCAGTTTTACACTGATAAATCTGAACAGAGATATATACAGAAAAGCCAACACACAAAAAGGGCAGCAAGAGAAAATCAGAGCATCACAGGTCCAGAAAGAAGGAAAAGAAGGCTCAGGGAGAAATTTGAACCTCATATCCAAGTATGATGTAAGGCTGAATGTAATGTTAATGTAAATATATAGGCAGCTCCACAAAGATTTTTTTTGAAGCTTAAAGCACTTAGATGTTTTAAAATGATAGCCTGTGCTAATGGCTTGTCACACTGACTCAAAATTTATTGTCGAAAACATTGCAAATCTATGCTACAGTTTACTTTTTTATGTTTTATTTACTTACTTAAAACTCACTTTCCACTTACAAAGTCCCATTTCCCCCTAAGTATGTTAGATCGTCATTAAATCTAAATTCCTAAACTGATTTAAAATGTGAGGCTTATGTTTGCGTATAATTGCAGTGTGATGGTAAATGAACATTAGTCTCCTTCTCAACCGCTAACAGCGCCTGTTTTACTGATAGATGTGATTCATCCAAAAAGAAAAAAACAGACAACTGAAACGTAATCAAAGTGAACTGAATGAAATCACAGCATTAACTGTACCTTCACAGGTAGCTGGGTTTTATGGTTACACAGGGCTACACAGCCTCATCACTCTCTCATTCTACTAATCTCTATCAGAAACAACATTTATAGGTTCAAGTCAGGACAAAGCAACCAAATTCACAATGAAACTGCTGGACACTGGACAGTAGTTTATATAATAAACGTTCTCAAAACATTCAGTTTTTCATATTGCCCAGTTTTGCATGATAACTTTCCCAATATGTTCAATACTATGGTAAAACGAAGTTGTTTTTAAAGCAAACAGACACTGAAATCTATTTCACATATTTTTCCTACTCTAATCAAAAGGTTTACTTAAGCGATTGTAGGTTAAAACCGTCTTATTAAGCTGCTAAATTGAATGAGCCTTGTGAAAAACCATCTGCCACTGTCTCGGCTGGTTTTGTTTTCTGAATGAGAATGCTGCTGAGCGGGATTTTTCATGTTCAATCTGACATAAACATCAAGATGGAAAGCTATAAATAGAAGTCATGCAAGCACATGTTCTCACTGTATAACTCTATCTATCTATTTATAGAACAGGAGTCAATTGGTTTTTCATTTTTGGCAAAAGTGGAAGTTAAGTAAACATAGTCACATACTCGTAGTGAGGATGTGCTTTAGTTTCAAATCATGGTCTCGTTTTGTTTGTCACTGTCTGATGAGTGAAACAGATGTCCATGTTCTTTTTGATTTGTTGTCATTTACTGAACTGACTCAGCAGCAGCCGCATTGATGGAAAAGATTATTATGGTTTACTGTATAATCAGGAGCTTTCCGGGTGTAATGGAGTGTCTACAAAGCACGATAAAGCCCTGAAGTGGATCCAGAGCCTTAGGGGACATATCCTACCAACAAACAAGCCAGCAGTCCTGGCAGCCAGCCTACCAATGGACATCTCACATCTGCATGTAAGCTGTGCACACAGCCCTGTTGGCCTGCTCCTCACATAAATGCATCATTGATTGCCATTTGGTAAGCCATTAATCCGTGTAAATGGATTCTAGAATGAGGACCATTCAAAAAAAGGGGAAAAAAAAGAAGAAAGAAAGAATGAAAGGAAAAAAACATGCAATTTAAAGTAATCTCTATGGAGCCAAAATATTCAGGCTTTAAGTAGTGGAACAGGGGCAAGTACAACAGTCCAAGCATCCCTGGGGTGATGTGCAGTAAAGCTCCCTGGGAGAAAAAAAACAACTAGCTGAAAAAAAACTAAATACATGCACAAAATTAACAAAAGATTACATACCTCATCTGATCCTGAGCCAAATATTAGAAGATCAAACGGAATTGCTGCCACCATGTCTATAAGGAACCATCCTTTAAAATAATGGATTGCTATCTTGGCTGGGTGGCTGACCACTTCCTCGTTTTGGTTTACATAAGTTGTCCTGAAGTTTATGAGGATGTCAATGATGAACATGATGTCCACAATTAAATCTACTACATTGAGAGGGTTGCAGGAGTATCCGCATTCTCGTCTCTTCTGCTCCTCTTGGTCATTGAGAAGAAAAGCAGCTGAGTACGGAGTGAGGATCGCCGTGTAGATGACCAGCAGCAGGATCAGCCAGTCCCAGACGGCTTTGAATGGGCTGTAGTGAAGGATCGTGAATTTGTCAATGCGAGGTGTTTGGAGTTTGTACTCTGGCAGCACATCTGCTCCGAGGGACAGGACCTGCAGGAATGGTGAGAGAGGGTCAGAAGAGCAACAAAAATCACTTGATTATATCGCTGTCAATTTTTATTTTGGGTCAACCTCTTAGAATAATTGATAATATTACAAGCTATAGGTTTTAAGCTTATGGTGCTTTTTTGGTATAAAACAATATATTTTAAATCTATAATTTGATTAAACACAGTTTCCCATTTCATATATCAAATCCACGGGTCATTTAATCAGCTCACAGACTTTAAGGAATGAATTGATAACAACTGTGACACCCAATGTGTCCTCTACAGTCAAACCGAGTTAGTCAAAGATAGCCATTATGACAAGTGGATTGCCTCTGACCTGGCACTATAAATAAATGTTACTACCACTTGTTCTCCATTTGCAGAAGGTACATTCAATTACTCTTGGAAAAAGCACTTGATAGACTGAAGAAAAGTAAAGTCTGAATACATTTTAACTGATAGATATGAATTTACTATGCAATGTGGTACCCAAATATTTGTTTTAATTTCCCCAGATGAATGAGCTCTGGTTAGATGGTAAATTATTCAATGTGGTCAGGAAAGCAAAGCCGTTCTCTGTTTCTGGCTTCACAATGTGCGACAGACTAGCAGAAAGGGCTCTCTTATGGCAGAAAATGGTGTACGATTGAGGATGAGGGCAATGGGTCTTTCTATTCTTTTCAGCACATTCCCTTATCTTCAGCACATGAATTATAGATTTCCCCATGCTAGCAGTCAGGAAGCAGATGCAGCGTTCACATCTCTGCAGTGTCTTCAAACTCCAAACTAAAATCAGCAGGGAGGGAGAACATTTAATCACGATGATGGTTCTTTTTCATTTATAGATGAGAAAGCTGTGGTGAAAGAAGTTTAAATATAAAGTTTCTGAGCTTTTCTTTTGCTTGGTTACTGGGCCCCAAAGCATTTTATAGTGTCCTACACAGAGTTCTTAATTTACTGAAATATCCCAAAACAAAACACATTTTGTTATTTATCAGAATAACTGCAACATTATCCCTAAAGTATACTTTGTTTGGTAGTGTGCACCTGCATGCGAACAAAAATGTCTAATCAGCCAATCACACAGCAGGAGCTCAATACATTCAAGCATATAGACAAGGTCAAGATGCCATGCTGCATTCCAAACAAAGCATGAGAATTGGGAAGAAATGGGTTTTAAGTGATTCTGAACGTGGCATGGTTGTTGGAGGCATACACACTATTTCAGAATCTGCTTCTCTACTGGGATTTTCCCACACAGCCATCTCTAGGGTTTACAGAGAATGGCTAGTAAAAGAGAATATATCCAATCCAGCAGTTGATGTGCAAAGGCTGAGATGAAAGGCCAGACTGACAGGCTGACAGAAGGACAGTAAATCAACTAACCATGTGTTTTTACCAAGGTATGTAGAAGAAGCACTTGGTATAAACAACAAAAACCATGGATCCACACTGCCTTGTATCACCATTTCAGGCTGGTGGTAATGGTCGCGTACCAGTTTGGGGGATATGTTCTCTTCAGCCTGCTAGAGTATTGTTGCTGACCCTGTCCATACCTTTATGACTACAGTGTACATATCTTTCAGTGGCTGCTTCTATCCTTAAAATACACCATGCCACAACTCTCAGATCCTTTCAAACTGGTTTATTGAACATGAAAAACACGACTAGACTCAAATGGCTTCCACAGTCACCAGATTGCAATCCAAAAGAGCACCTTTGTGATGCTATCAAGTCAGGATGGACCAAAATCTATTCTGAAGGCAAAATGGGCGGGGTCATACTAGTAAGGTGTTCATAAAAAAGTGGCCAGCAAGTAAACATTTTACGTTTTTCCCCTCACTTAATTTTATGAAACATTGTTTTTTTTTATTAGTTTAAAAATAAAACCGCAATGAATATTGACATGTCTAGCTAGCCCTAGAACCCCTGTTTGTTCAAGTGTTAAGAACATCCACTTGTGACTTGTAAACATAATGAATTAATAGGTTCTATAGGGAGTCAGTGAAATGTTCTTCTTGTTGTTCTGAAACAGAAATAGATGTTTTTTCTCTGATATTGCCACTAAGTTTGCTTCAAGATGAAAGTACTTTCATCACTCGGGACATGTACTGGTATCCTGGGTGGTTTAGGGCTCAGGTGAATATTCAACTTGAATAGTGATATTATAGCAAGAAGGAATGAAAAGAGCTATCAGAATAAATACACTTGTACTCTTGCCCTCGTGCAACTGTGTCCATGGTTCCCAGAGGTGCACTCCAAAGATGCACACATGTACAGATGTAAGACTTGAAACAAAACAGAATTGCAAAACTGGAACTTATCCACCAGAATAACTGTAAACTAAAACAAAACATACATTTTTGTCTTAGACTTAGGGATTGAGACTCCTCTAACTCCCTTCACTTGTATTTTGACAGCAAGTTATTTGTCAAAATAGGCAATACTAATGTTTCATTTTTCAGCTTATTGTACTAGATATTCAATAAAATCATCGAGTCATTCCAAATCAATACATAGAGTAAACCTACAAAATTAGCAGCATGTTTGTTTGCATGAAGAAAGTGTAGCTGGGCTGGAAAATAATTCCTAGACTGAATATCTGTTTCAACTCCTGGCACTACTCCTCTATTAATGTGGATGGGCAGTAGCCATATGTTATCTCTGCAGCATGATAGACTGCCAGCTGTTTGTTAGCGTCTCCAAAAGTAAGGCTTGTATTGTTTTCATCTTTTGAGTCTATCTGTCATCATGGGAAAAATGGGGAAGAGAAAACTACTGCAAAAATGATTTTGACCACTTTGGTATACACTTCTCTGGTTCAATGCCTCTCTATGTAAAAGTCTTGCTATCTCAGTTGAGTTGAGAAAAATTTAGATGATATTTAGTTATTGGCATTGCGGCTGGTGCGATCTGATTGCAACATGATTTCTTCTTTAATATAATGAGCTGTCAGTGAATCATATCTCATCATCTTCATGGAGGCATCCAATTTCAGAACTACATTTGAAATGATTAGTGCACTGGCAAGCTTCCCATCCATCCCTCTCAGTGACGTTCTTTGAAATAGAGAACCAAGGATATGTGTGGAAAGGTGGATGGATGGATGGATTTCTAAGAGTTGGACCCAGGTCAGAGAAATGGTAGCTGAGAGAGTTTTGCAAGTCAAACAATAACAGATGCTTCAATGTAAAAATAAATTGGAATTTTCAGACTCACCTGTGTGACCTTTTCTGTTACATTGTGAGTTCTTTCTTTAACCTTTGGTGCTATGATGGGTTTCTCACTTGTTGGTGGAGAGTGGGTCTTCTTCTCTGTCCCCTCTGAGAAGTTGAGTGCAATCAGGGGGATCTTGTTGATAGTGCTATATTTGTTGATGTTTGAATCAGAGGTAGAGCCAAGAAGGCTGGACTTCACGTGGTTGAAAGGGCCTAGTGTTCAAGAGCAAATGGCAGCCACATTAGTAACCTTGGCAAGGTTAACACAGGATTTGGTGGGGTTTTTTTTGTTGTTGAATAAATATTAAGAAATTACCTGCTTCACCCTGATTAAACAAGAAAATTTTTAATCTCCTGTCCATTTTTAGGTATTATGGCAATATAACCATAATAAGCTGAGCTTTGTATACTGTAAATCTATTTCTAGCCAGAGAGAATAACAGCCTCATTTACTGTACATGCACATCACCATTGACTAATATAATCTTACATCAACTGATAGTGGAGGAACTACTGGGAATTTTTAGTATTTTTTCACCCAAGAAAAAATGTGCTACAACACATCTAACGTGCTTTTAGAGCTGCGGTTGGCTGTGAATTAAAGCCTACTAGGAATCGGGGGGAAACTGATTTATTCATACACAAGCCTTTAAATTACATATGCCTAAAAAGCAATGTTTTCACCTTCTGTTTTTCTCATAGCTATACACGGATTGAGACAAATTATTTAAAAGCAATGCTATTATCTACGATTTTACAGATGTTAAGATTACATTGTGACAAAATGACGACATCTGTCTCAATCATTAGTTTACAATCATTTCAGTGCAGTAAGCCCATATAACCTATTGATATATTGGTCAGACTTTACTTATCATAGTAGAGTTAAAACATGAGCAGCCAATCGTAAGGTGTTGGCTGGGCCAATATATTAATACGACATAACACAGACAGAAGCTACAAGTTATAGAGCGTAGTGTAGCACATACCTTCATTTGTATGGCGATCCCTGAATAAGTTTTTTGAATTGGAACTATAGCCTTCAATTTCATGAACGGATGAGGCCCTTCTCATGCTGCTGATGCTGCCTCTGGGGAAGGTATTTGACAGGGAGGTAGAGGACTGGTGTGGCTCCGAATGGTAGAGTTTCTCCCAGGGGAGTTTAGGGGATGAATGGTCAAGTGGTTCAGGACCGATGCTAGCCTGGGAGGAGTGGTGGCTTGAGCCTATGAGGGCATGTGTGTCATTGGCCTCAATGGGACTGCAAATGCTCTTGGTGGGTGATGGGAAACTCTCCAGGGCCACTGAGTCCTCATCCTCTTTGGGCAAGTCCACCATCACAGCATCTGGGTCCTCTTGCGGAAGAGATTGCTTGTTGGTATTCATCAGGCTCAAAGCAGCCTGGCGGAAACGGAAGAATCTACTCCTCCCTAAAAATAGAAAGGACATTAAGAGAAGACCTCAATGTACAGCACAGTAATATGTATATCTATAAATATATTTAATAGCCCCAGGAGCATGTCTGATATTGTTTTCCATTGTGAGTTTTCTATTGTGTATGTGTCATCATTGACTGATTGCTGTAGTGCTGGTGAATTTTTTTGTGTTCCTTATGTGTTCTAGTCCTTAATGTGTAATAAACCTTTATTTTGGTTGGTTGATTTATATATGAACCTTCCAGAATATAATAAACAGGTTTCTTTTTGTTGCAAATATCTGTCTTTGTGTCCTGCACTCATCTCCTAAGTCCCCAGTACTGCAGCAGTCTGTTGTTGTTATTTGGTGCATCCTGCATATCTTTGAAGGATTACAGTCGAATACATTGTTATCCATTGTGCCTAAGGACAATGGTATTTTACTCTAATGGTTTCAGTTGAATTAGATATAGTGAAACAAAGTAACATTATCCATAGTTTATTCTGTTTTGTTGTATTGTTAATATTCACATAACATGCATTCTATGAAAACTGTCTCCTTGAATGGTTTTTGATATCTTGGTATCTTTCCACTCTAGTCTCTACATACAAATGACAAATTATCTTTTTAACTTTTATAAATGTCTGTAAAAACAAACAAAGAAGACAAAAAAAAAAACAAAGAAGTAAATTTACTATTCTCTGAATTAGATTTTAACTTGAGTCTTTCCTTTGGTGCATAAATGCTAGTATGAAAGAAAGCAGAATGAATGAATAAAAAACTTAATTCAAGGTTTAAAAAGAGAAACAGAAAAATAACAATTCTTTGTTTAATCACAGAGTGAATCTCATTACAACAAAATTCAGTAACAGTGACATTAGGGGGCTGTTTCATAAGCACAAAAATCAAGGACAGCTACACACATCAGTCTTAAGGACATGCCTGTACTCATTCAGTAGGCTTCATCAGTTCTATTGATTTAGGCAGTTTCCAAACCTTTTAAACTGAGTGTACTGACTTTACTCACTTTGATGTCACATGACATTAAGTAAGGTCACAGTATTAATAAAGTTATCATAGGGGTCTAGTATGGTGTGCTGTTAAGGAGTGTTATATAGGCTGAAATGTTTACCACAATGATGCTGCAAATTACCGACAACATATGATGCACTTCACCTTCCTCAGTTTTTATTTTTATGGATGCTCCATGTCGCCAGTCTCGAATTGGACTGCAGATCATTGTTGTTGTGCTAATGTTTGCTTTGGTTATTAGGTTGGAAAGATCCTACTCACTTCCTTTGACACGCTATCCTTTTATAGACTACCTGTGATGTTACATTAAATTTCTACTCCTCTGGCCCGTGTGCTGTGCTGGATATATTTTTTACTATCATGCTGCTATATTGACAAAAGCTTTTTAAAGCTTTTATGAAAAATGATTAAAGGACTGGGTCTATAAAAAAAATGTCTTATCACTTATCAGCCAGGCACTATCCACTGCCTTTAAGTAGAAATAATGAAAAACTGGTATGCAAAATCAATCAAAGACATACCCATATGGCATATTTACATGCCTTATTGTTGCATAAAAAGATGATTTTGTAGGCTGGACTTTTTTACATGTCTTGAAATGCTGTATAGTTATTTATCTGACATTAAACTTTTCATTTAGTCCCTAAATACAGTAAGCTTGACTTCATAAACAATCATTAATATAATATTAGTACTGTAAGGATCACAATTTATAGATATCAAAAAGGATATCTACAAATTGTGTAAGTCTAGCATATCATATCATATCATATCATATCATATCATATCAAGTGTATTCAGTATTCATTAATTAGTTGTTGTGAAATCAAAATGATACAATTCTTTTATAGGTTTTTATTAGTGCATAAATGCTGACATCATAATAAGATAAGGCACTTTAGGGGCTTAATGTGTACCTGTGTGCAAAGTTAGATTGCTTACCTTCTGAATATGTAGGAGGAATTTTAAGTCAGACAGTGTATTATATTATTGTGTATCATAGTAAGAGGATTTAAAAAAATTTTTTTTTAAGCATATTTATGACACTATGATAGTGTGGCTTACAAGGACATGCCTATGTGTATAGTTGAGCTGTATTCATTTGGCAGCATGCACAACATTTCAAGAGATGTTTTTTAGTTGGTTCTCTTCTTTAAATTTGCACCTTCTCTCATTTGCTGCGTTCCTCTCACTGAATCTGTCATACCTGCTCCAGCTAACCACGTCAAGGTTTGATGGCCATAAAAAAGAACAAATTTTTTTTCAGAAAATTACAGCTACAAAATTTAAAACTGTTTTTAAAGGAAAAAAAATGTAACCTACTAAAGCAATTGGTTTTAATTTGAAGCAATTGAAAATATAGCCTATAAGATTTGAAAGGTAATTACCAAAATGATGATTTATTAAGACACCTTAAATCTATCTATGTGGATTAAAGGTCTTGTACAATTAGAATTACCTTGCCTTGCCTTTCTAGTATTATGGCTTGGATGCAAGTGTAAACGTGCAAAAGGCAACATCAAAGACTAATGTCCTCAAATAAAAGTCCGGTGTCCTTTAGACATACAGTATGAGATTGACATTTGGATTAAAGCAACATTGGCAATCATATTAGCAAAGTACTGGACTGTTGTTGGTTGAAAAAAATCTGGCTGAGCCTGGATTTATGTTTGATTTTCCAGGACTCTACGCTATGTTCGAGAGCTGTGGACAATATTCCAGAGAATAACACTGCAGTTACAAGAGGCCAACATCAGACTCATTCCCAGAGTGCAGATATGAGCAAGCATGAACATTTAGAATTGAGTTAAAAGTTCATAGATTCAGAGTTTCAGAAAAAAGCTCATAAAGTCTCTATTATCAGAAGTCGTAAAAATTACTGTATTCATAGAGTACTATAATAACCGATTTTTTGTTAAGTCGCTGACTGAAAACACAATTTCCATTTTATGCAGCAAGAGTCTGGTTTGCATAACACAGTATAAGTGTACCATATCTGGCTTTAGGCCTTAACAGTTGAATTTAGTGGAGGATACCTTTTAGATAGCAGCTTGAGGCGAGAGGGATTACTCTCTGCCAAGCTCCGTACAGTACTAGTTGACACCTGCTGGCCTATAACCAGCTGTCAGCACCAGATGATAATTAACACCCCTGTATAACGAAAATCACCTTTCAGAGACTGTTATATTAAATCACAGGAATAGGCATGGTGAAAATTTTCTCCAAGGCTCTTTCTATTTTGAAATCAGTGACGTTATTTCTCAGCCAATGGTACGTGTCTGCCACTGCGCTTTAAATGCCCGATAACCTAAAACTAATTTCATCAGTAAGCATTTCTTTTTTTCTACCTTCTATACTTATGACGTGAATCTTATTAAATACATATTCATTTAGAGAAATAATACTTTTAGCAATATCTGAACATAATACATTCCAATAGCCAGCAGATTCAGTTCAAAATGACTAGCATCAGTTTTTAAAACTCATTTCAACCAAGCAACTAGAATAAAATTACACTTTAATGCACTGCCATTACTTAAGAGCTGCTCAAAGAAAAAAATAAATAATACTACTATCATATATAAAGTGAAAGTGTGCATGAAGTCAAGAGTCATTGTCTCTGACTCTCCTAATCTTATGTCACATCATATGTTTATCTGTCTAATTTACCCACGGGTTTCCTCTGCTGAAGCACAGTCACAAGCAATCAAGTCTGACTAACAATGCTGGCAACAAACAAAAGAGACATACACACGTGCACATGCACACTTAAATACACACAGCACAGCACAAGATGAATGTCAGTGCTCTGGAGGAATACATCCTGAGCGAATAGCCTAACTCAGGTCAAGAGAAAAGACGCTGAGTGCTTCCAAACAGAGAAGAGCAGGAAGGTTTCACTGACATTAACACCTCTAGAAATACACCAAAAAAAAGAGAGGTGTGCTATATGCTGCTCTCCCCCAGGGTGTAAAATGGATATATTTAAACATTTTTAACAAGATTACGTTATGTAAGTCGACCATTTCCTCCTTGCATGCAGATGGTATATTTAATTGCTGTTGGTGTAAACTATATTACACTGGCAAACTAAATAATGCACCATTTTTAGAACAATAAAAGCCAGCAATATGTTTAGAAGTTACACAGTGCATGAAAAGGAACACAGTACTAAATTAGAGCCTACCAAATGTGGAGGGATATTTTAGTTTTAGCCATCTGCTCTGGTATTGACATACTTTAAAGAAGCGAGGAAGGTTTTGTTTTGTGAATGGTGTTATTACATGATAAATGCAATGCATAAATGAATAGTGATGCATATTTATGAAAAAAAATCAAGTCTTCTTTTGTTAACTGAGTTTGGGTTCTGATTTTTTTAAAAGATGTTCGATTGGTTGAAGCTTGTTTTGTTTGCTTGTTGAATTTCTTGATTCTTCTTTTAGTTCACTTATAAATCTTGTCAATTATGAGTTTAATTTCTTCATTCTCCACCTGCCTCCCATCTCATCTCAGCATTTAGCCTGTGTATATTCAGACTTCTTTTGCCTTTGTCCTTTGTCAAACCATCTGTTTTCTCCCCCTAATGTAGCTCTTTGTCTTGCTTCAGTGTTTTCCTGGATTACTCCCCATGTCGGGTTTTTGGATTTTTGTTTTGAGTTATCCTTCTGGACTTTATTGATCGAACTTTGCTGTCAGCCAAATAAAAAAAAGGTCCCTTATTATTTGCCTCTCCACATCGCCGACTGATAGACAGAAAAAAATTAAGATGGAATTTCTAGTGTTACAAAAAATCATGACAGCAAAGACATAAAAAGAAATAGAACTTAGACACACTGATCTGCTTGCTGCTGTTATATTTATTAAACTCTTTTTCTCTTTTGACCTCGTAGTATATGAGCACAATCCCTGCATTGCCACATACACGCGAAGTATCTCAATCGTCATCACATGCAGTGAGAGGACTAATGAAATTAATCTGACTGATTAACACCTTGCATGTATGTCTGTCAGTAGTCAACCAAAAGCATTAGCAGGATCACCTGTGTGATAATACTAACCTCAAGTGACATCCAAATGAATTCAAAACTCCTCAAGTTCAAAATACAAGACAGACTGTAAATGAAAACCTTTCAAAACATCAAAATATTGTATCATTCATATACCATATATGCCATATAGGAATCATATAGGAATCAGACTTATGTTACCCAACGGGTAACATAAGTCAGTGAATGGAATAAATGTAATAACAAGTAGTATCTAGTCATTTTCATTTTCATAGGAAATATTTACTTAGTATGATGTTTGTGATTATTTGTGATTTGTGTATACTCTTAATGGACTATGGCTGATAATATGATGTTTTGATGAAGCACACAGTTTGTATTAAGAGCCTACTGTTGTTTTACTCTGAACTTCAACAGTTTTGAACTTACCTGGATGTCACTTCAAACACTCAACATTACTGACACACATACACAAAGTGTTCATTTTTCAGATTAATAGAATAGAATAGAATAGAATAGAATAGAATAGAATAGAATAGAATAGAATAGAATAGAATAGAATAGAATAGCCTTTATTGTCATTGTACAGAGTACAACGAAATTGGAGTGCCACTCCCTTGGTGCAAGATTCAATAATAAATCTAAATGTAAAATATAAAAAGTACAATAAAACAATCGCAAGTACTCAAACAATAGTAAGTCTGATATATACAGGATAGCAGCATTAATATAATGACAGTATGAATAGCAGCATAATATAATGGCAGTGACGGTATGGTATAGCTAAGCAGGTTCAATTGTTTTTGTGCTTATTTACTACGGTGATAGCTCTGGGAAAGAAGCTATCCCTGAATCTGTTTGTCCTGGTTTTATGTGATCATACAGTTCCCTGATTGCATGTTGGAATGACTAAGGAATTTCCCATGTGTGCATGCTTGTTTAGTCCATAAGTTGCTTGTATACCTGATGAAGGTCAGATGGACTGAAATAAGAAAGTGAGAAAACATGCAGGAGTTCTTGATATTTTTTTTTAAACGTTTATCCTGCAATGCACCAGTTACTCATTCGGGTATGCAGAAATTTTGTCACAGATGTTTGTATGGCAGCAAAGTTAAACAGCTCCACAGTATTTGTTAGATACTGGTGTCATTAGGGAGGTATGTCATGCTATATCACTAATTATTCCAGTAGTATTTAACATACTTACTTTGATCAGACTTTGTAGGGGATGTGGGGCTTATCTTCTCTGTGGAGTTGTCACTTCCCTCATCCACAACATACTCAAAATTTAAGATAAACATCATCACGACGCCCTCTTCATTCTTCACTGGGATTATATGAGTGTTACACTGAAAGTCAGACCCTGAAAGAGAAACAAAGAATCAGTGTCAGAGAGTTGAACATACAACGTGCCAGTTAAAAGTCCTTGTGAGAGGACTATAAAGAACTGTAAAAATGACTTACGACACCTTTGGAAAAACAGAGAAGACGTTAATATTAAAGGTCAATGGCTGTATGCCAGAATAGATGAAATAGATGAGATAAAATAAAAACATCCAGAGGTTAGATTGGTTCATGTCTGTATGTTGTTGTTCTTATGCATATATTGCATGCATATTTTAATGAGAAATATATTACATAAAATAACCAAGTTTCAATACGATGGCTGAGACAGCACGATTTAGTGTAACAGATCAAACAAGCAAGACAGATTACAGCCAACACAGAAACTGCAGTGTGCACATAGAAATAATCACTAAAAATATCCGTTGTGTGAGGCAGCGGAGCAGAAAATCCAGCGAGATCACAATTTCTCAACTGCACTGGTTAAAGCTGCGTTAGCAAAATCTACTCTTGCTTGTGGGCATAAGTGCTCACCAATAAAACTCTCTACCCACTGGACTTGAAGCAATAACACAACAGCTACTTACAGTTGGGGGACATATAGTATCAGTGGCCTTTTCTCGTATGAGGAAAAATGTTTGCTCTGAAACTACTCCAGTTATTATTACATTTTAAAAAACAGTAAAAAAAACCAGCCCCATTTGAACCTTTTTTTAAAAAAAAAACAAAAAAAATTAACACGTGTAGATATATTCATCATTTTGAACTGAGCTATAAAATCAAATTGTTTCATAGTAAAATTGCACCTTTGTCTCTCTGTGTGGATCTGTCTGTCATTTTGTCTGTCTGTTTGTGTTGTGCTCATACTCACAGAGGACACATATTACCAGTGTTCGCTGCAATTTCCTCAGGGCTCACAGACACCCTGCCAGCAGCATTCATTAGCAGTAGACTTGCTGTCTGACTAAATATAACAAGCTTGGTCTGTCTCTACATGCCACAGTTCTCTTGGACAGATTTCAGCATCAGAAACCCCAGAAGTGATGATAATGTAATCTAAATGAAATGGAAAACATTGAAAATGCACCAGCTGGTGTTAGAGAATAGTGGAATTCAGTGTTTCACAGGTACTGAGTGAATTAATGGAGTAAATGGAACAAAACACAGTTACATATGTGATGTGTTACTAAGAGCAGAAGGTGTGCTGTGTGCAATCTCATCTCGTGTAAAGGCTTTCTGGTCATGTTACGTTATAAAGTCGAAAGTGGCGCTTAGAGAGCAGGGCAACCTCGAGTCCTTGCCCAATTTAAATCCCCTGTTCATAAAAAGCACTTTTCCTGCATTTCCCAGAAATCCTTCACCTAATTCTGCATTGTCCTTTCTGTAAAAGGGAGCACTTTGGTATTGACTTTGATCTCTTTGAGTTAACACTGTTCATTTGTTCAGAGAGGTAAAGTAAGTGGATGAGAGTTATTCAGAACTGATTGTCTGATAAACAGAATAAGAGTAAAAAATTGTGAGCTTACAGGATACAAAAACAGCGCAACAAAGTTCACCAGTAAGAAGAAAGGTGGGAAAACTGTAGTCACAGTTCTGATGTGTGTTATGGACATAAAAAAAACAGTTTTTGTTAAGACTCACTTTTAATTATACACGGATCAAGTATGTAGACCAGTTTGTCAAGTAAAAAGATCCACCCTGGTACAGAGCAGGTGAGTATAAGATAAAGAATATGTAAGGTAGAGTGTAGACTGTTAGTTGTAGTTATTTCAAGATATATCCTAGATAAAGAACAAGGGACAAAGTGGTTTATTAGCATGGACGAATGAAAAAATATGGCCAAGACTTCCTCATTTCTCTTCCTTACTTGAACAGATGTGGATACCATCCTTGCTCTATTGCTCAGCCGTGAATAGACTTCTGTAAATTTTACTTTAAATTTTCATTTAATTTGACAGCTCTACTAGAGATTAACAGGATAGAAGACCGAGGAAAGAGAGAAGAGGAATGAAATGGTCAGTTTTCACCCATGTGCTATGTGCCTGAACTATTTAGCCATCAGGTCACCCAGTTAATTTAATCTCTGTCTTTCTGTGTGATTATGTGTTTTTTTGTCCGCAAACTCTTCCTAGATAATCAAATAAACAAAATTGGCATAAAGGATACATCCAAGGATTTTTATCTATATCAAATATTATGGCATCGTCATATTGCCTAGCAACCACTCACCGACAGCCCAAAATGACCCATTTTAAGCATTTGTGCACCGACAATACCTTCTGTCATTATTTTACAGCAATAATATCTAATTATATCCACAAAAGCTGAATTATACATGTCGAGCAACCACCTCGTAATGGGTTAAGGGAAGATGCTGCCAGCAACTATGTGAAATTGATACACAGTGCTGCAATGAAAACTTCCTTGCGATTACTTTGATCACTATAGCAGATTGGCACAGTTAGCGATAGTTTGCATGGAAGACTACCCCCTTGGTAAGTACTTTGCCAATGTTTGCAGAAAAAGCATCAAGACCACTACAATTGCTAATTGTTAATGTGCTAATGTACAAAGCAATTGCAATGAATGTTTTTGGTGTAGCTGCCTACTTTATTTCACCTAGCAACAGATAATACCCTCTACCAACCACTTGCAAACACTGAATACACCCGAGCTTCCCAGGGGTTTGCCCATTGGTGTCTAGGCCTGTGTGCCTGAGGCTAAAAATTACCCATTTTTGGCATATGAACACTAACTACCTTTCTTTCTTTCTTTTAAATTTTTTTTGTTGTGATAAGCATATCAGTTTGCCGACAGCATGAACAAGGAAAACTACTAGCATGCACTAGTATAAATAAATAAATAAACAAACACCATATGGCTTGCATGGTTAAAAACACATTGTGTTCATTCTGTTAGGCACATTTATATTTACATTATAGCTAATTAACAGAAGAGTGATGTAACTGCATAACTAACCAGCAAAAAAAAAATTAATGCTAAGCTTAAATGCTGTAAAATCTAGCCTGAATAATAGGAATAACTAAATATTTATATTAGTAGTAGTTACTACTAATAGATGATAGTGGAAATAGTGGTGTAGTCTGTTTTTCAGAGAAGGCTCCGTGATCAGCCAGGATGAAACTGTAAATTCAGCAAAAAATATTTCTGGGCTGGGCTTTACCTGACCAGATGGGAAACAATAGTCATGTTTAAAGGCTAAGCCATGGGGGTCCCTTCTCATCTGGTCTCCTGCTGAATGTCACCTTTACCGAAACGGATGAAAGCAAAGCTTCTTCTAACTCTTGAGTTGAATCAGCACGGACAGTGTGTTACCAAGTTTAATCTCATAATACGCTCTTATTCACGTTTTCATTTTAATTGTTTTGGAACCAAACAAAGGACACAGTGCTTCTTCCTGTTAAACAACAAGAATATTCAGTCAGAAGAACAGGGAGTTCTTGTTTCTCTGACCAAAAAAACCCCAATGGCAGTGTGCCATGTGATCAGTTGAGTTATTTGTTACCAGAAAAAACAAAAGTGTTATTCACAGTTTAAGTCTACTGAAGGTATTTTAGTAAACATTACTGCAGGGGCACAAATCTGAATTAACTGTAATTAAAATTAGTTATAATTTATTCGTAACTAACTGTTACTGTTAAATCATAAATCAATTTAGCAGTTTATTAGCTTATCACCAAATTAATATTCTAGAATATCCAACATGTAAATTAAGTGGGGACTTAGACAATAGCGGACCTCAATCAAATCTTATTATCTGAGGATGTGCGCTTGTTATTTAAATGTTACAGTAAATGCAAGCCATAAAATATGTGAATAAAAATGAAATTCAGATGAAAAGATCCCATTATATGTGACACCACCCCCTGCTGGGTAACAAATTGCCTTGGCAGACATCACTTCACAGCTGAAGTATCATTAGAATAAAACTGCCAGACAATTTTTATGAAGCTAAGGTATTTTTCAAACTCATCAAGAAAGGTTTTCAGATTTCTAACTTAACCTATTTACAAGCATTTATGTTTGGATCACAGAGTTAGGAGAGAGTGAAAGGACATAACAGAAAAAAACAGTATTAATATATAACAGTAGAGTAAGAAGCTCAGTGACATTAAAAACAAGGTGTACTGAATATCAAAGCTGTGCGAGCCCCATCAAGTCTTACTGATGTATATGTTTTTATACTTTTCTATTGTCGTGTCTTGGATTAGCATTTTTGCCTTTAGATGCAGTCAGGCGACACTTAAAAATGAGATTATTTCAAGCAGCTGCAACTTTTATCAATCAAATGAAGAATGCATATAGTGCACAAAGTATACATTGCATAAACAAATGCGACAAGACAGAAACAAAACTGAGGTTTAACACAAAATGAAATTCGTGAAGCCCCTGAGCTGAACATGTCTGCAAATAGTTCAGAGCAAACACTTTTGCTTTAATAAATAAATAATAAAGTGACTGCCTTGTAAAAGCTATAGCCCTTCTGAAAAAAAAATCAATTCTTTCAAAAGGATTTTTGTTAAACTCTATTAGGAGAATCAATAAAATATCATCTTTTTGTCTGTTTACTGATGTTTTATGCAATTAAGGCCTGAGCTTTTACAGGTCCACTCAAGGACAGCCAGAGACTTTTCAAACCCATTGCAGAATTAATGTGTTTTTATGCTTTGTTCACTGTGGTCCTGAATCTGAATCCTCACCTCATTCTCGCTCCCTATTTCAACTCCAAGGCCTTTTTTGTTCCAGCCACTCTGAATTTTGGTTGTGTTCACTCTTCTCTCAACCCAGGCTCCATGTCCCTGACCCTGCACCTCTAAAGAATACTGCCACCACCATGCTTTGCTGGGGGAATAGTATTAGCCAGATGCGAGTTTTCACCAGACAAACTGCTTGCAATTCTGACTAAATAATTCAATTTTTAGACTTCCACGGTTCTTTAAAAGCAATTTTTTGCAAAAGCCAAGAAGCCTCTCATAGATTTTTACTTCTGTCTATGTCTATGTCCTGATTTATGGACTGCTGCCAAAGGGTTGTGCTGCAGGTTTTGTTCTCTCTGCAGAGAGCTTCTGAAGCTTTCTTCAAAATACTGGTGCTACATTCTCTTACCAAAGACCAACTTGCTTGATTACTCAATTTGCCCAAATGACCAGCACTATGAAAGGCCCTTTCAGTTTCACATTTAATTCATTTCACAATTATTTTGTGCCTCGGAACACTCAAAGCTTTAGAAATTATGAAGGATGCAAACAAGTAAGGGTTTGCACCCTTAATGACCCATGGTAACCATGGCAACTGGATAGCACTGGGACAAGGAACGCCAATATGTTTGTGTGTGTTGTGTGTGTTTTGTGCAGCCAAGAGTAGATGCACCCTCATGCTCAGCAGACCTCCTGAATAAAGTCGTGGTTAAGCCCTGCCCTGATGTATGCCTCACCAAATGTTATCATGGCAGTGTGCAGAGTGTCTCATGACTTAATTTTTTCCACTAGGTATGTGTAAAGGATAATTAAAGTCAATTGAATGCATATGACTGTAACTTGTCCTGCAGCAAAGGTTCTAAACACACTGATAAAAACATACACTTTGACATTACTGAGTCCAAACAGGTGGGAAAGCCAATTTGAGTCAGTTAATGAAACTAGTGTATGCGGCCATCCACAGTATATCTACTGATATCAGTATTACATGACTAGAATGCCACTGTAACTCTAAAATATATTACACATTTTGCTCAATATCGAAAGAATAAAGAAGAAAGCTCCACATGTTTAAGCGTGCCATCTGCGTCCCTGGAAATTGTTAATGTCTGTAGAACTTGGAGTACTCTAGGTGTTAAAAATTGCGAATGTGTCATGCTGCTCAAAAACTGTGGAAATACTTGAATAATTTTAACTTTTCTGGATAATTTTTATATCACACAATGTACGTCAGTAAAGGCTTTTAGTGTTGATGGAATAATAAGGGTGTTTTATTACTTCTATATATATTTAGTCCATTTTCATGCAATTGTTTTAAGTCACAGTCCTTTTAAGCATTTAATGCTTATCAACATATTTAACATCTTTGACAAGCAAACTTTTTTTTTTTTTTTACTGAATGTGCATTCATTTTGAGATCTTTATATAAACTGTTTTCCCTGTGAGCCAAGAGACGCTATTTACACCTGCTTGAAAGACTGGACACTGTATTAAGACTAGCTCCCTATACATGATGGAAATTTCATTACTGTAGATTCTGTTTCCATCATCAATTATTAAAACATTGCTGCTTAATCAAGTGATCCTTTCAACACAATTGGAATGATGAGCAACAAAGAAAAAAAAGCTGTGGTGCAACTCTAAGATGTCTTAAAGACGCATAAATGCACATAGCTGTGTTCATATTTGTACACAGTAGTGTTTATTAAGGATTCATATTCTCCTATGTAAGTTGATCTGCTTTGGGAAGAAGCATGAGTAACATTGTTGAATGCAGATTTTTCTGTTTGTATCCTTCCAACCATGTTCTACACAACTGTACTGTAGCTTTTAAACACAGCCCCACAACTACTAGTGAGTCTTGTATAATGAAATCTGACATGTTCCTCTTTTAGGGCTATTCTGCTTAAGCCAATATACAACATTACTGGGGCATAGCCCATCGGGACTGGTGTATGTAGAGAGAGGCCATGCAAGCTAGCCCTTTGTTTAGAGTCCTTAGACCCTGTGGCAATATCTCGCCTCAATGAGAGTGCTGTAAGCTACATAGACTGGCCTAATTTCATCTTCAATCAGTGTCTTCAGAGCCATCAGGGATAACTAGCAGCTCCAGCACACGCCGTACTGAATTTATATTTATTAGTTGGTGAGATTTTGCTTTGTGATCTTTTAATTATGTTTAATTTGGTACAGATGCTGGCAGGTTAAATGAACTGAAGGGTATATAATGTAGGTTAACGTACGGTACCTAATTAGGAGAAAAATACAGATGGTATAGAGAGGAACATTGGATTTCACACTCCACTACAAGAATCTCATGACATTAAAAATAGTCCATGATTTACTACTGCTATCTAATGCAAATATTGTTAGGGTTATGTCAGTAACTATCACTATCAATTTCCAGTTATTAATTAAGCTTATCTCAATTTGTTGAGTTTGAAAGGAGCTCGTGCTACAGCATGTTTTAACAAACATTTTACCGGACTTGAAATCATCTGCTTGCACGGGCTGAAAATAACCAGACGCAGAAAACCTTATCTGCTTCACCTCATACTACGAGACACCAAAGAAGGCTCGCATGATGAAAAATGGATGTGCTATTTTAGAGAGAAGTCATCCAAGTGTCTCGCAGCACACCTTATGTACTGTAGGCACTCCCTGTCCCCTCACTCCCCTGCCACTAAACCCTCAGCAGGGGTACATGGCCCTGCAGTCCCCTTGGTGGCGTGCCACCTATGAAACTCTGCACCCAAGCATACCACATGTCCCACATCATTCAGCATGGTTAGCTAAGCTGCTGCTGTTATGTCGCCATTATCCATTTAACTTCTCTCTGCTCCATGGTGTCAGCTTCCTTTTGTTAATACTCATTCAGGTACAAAGTATTATTACACCCTGTGGAATAGGATAGCTCTACAAAGCCTTCAGGGGAAAGCATTTATCTCATTGATTATGTATCATAGCTGGTGTAACACAGCACATGTGGTATCTCTTCTAACAGCACGTCATGCTTCTTCACATAGAGGGAAGCACAAAAATTAGAAGCAAATGGTCTGGTGCAAAAGGCCTTTGCTGTGCTCCCATGGTTGCCATTGTTCCCCTACTTTTAATTTCTAAGCATTCACATAAGCTGCTTAACTTTTGCTTTTTAAGTGAAAAGAGAAATAAAGCTTTGTTGCTCCTGATGTCGCACAGCTTCCTCAAATCCAAACCTTACTTTCTTACCGCAGTTATTGGTGGAAGGGGAAAACAAACTACACCTGCCTCACTTCAGTTCCTTCAACCTCTGGCATTTTAGGCACACATCAAAAATCAACCAATACTTGGAGAAAAATATGCACGAAAAAGGGGAGAAACAGAACATTGGTAACCTGCCTATGCTGAGACTGGTTTATTTTATAATTTGTGATGTACAGTGTGTGCTCGGGCTTTAATACAAAGGATTAACTGATTTGCATTAGGACTGATAACTTCAAATGCAGTTTGGAGACATGAAATGCAACCACTTTCTGCCCATCAACTTCAATTTGTCAGCTGTCTTGAATCAATAGGGCTACTTCTCTCAAGGATGGCATGAATCTTTTATTCCCTTAAAGCAGGCGAATGGTGTCCTCCATACCCGTGTAATGCATCTACTCTGAAAGCTGCTCATTCCCAGTCACTGCACTGTCAGCCCTGACATCTTTATTCATGAGCACACATGCTAACTATAAATTCCTCTGAGGAGTATTAAGAGTTATGTTTTGGATTCGTAATGCACACTAGGGAGGATTGTGATAGGACTGGGACAAACGATTACGTTGGAAGGTTTTCAGACTCTCATCCACAATGCTTTAAGCATTCCATGCTCACGACTTTTAGAACAGAGTGCAGAACGTGCATGCAATATGGGAAGATGGGAACCTAAATGAAGTTTCTTTAAAATCCTGTTTGCCATACACCAAGCACTTCCAGTTAGACCCTAGAGTTTGGTGTGAAATTGTCTTGCAGCTTTCTGCAACAATCTATTTAACAGTGCAGCAGCTGGATCATGATTAGCAAAAAAACCCCAAAACATGCCTGATGGTTGTTGATGGAAGATTAAGCATGTATCCATGGCACAGAATCTAATTAAACTCATGATTAAAAATTAGGCTCCTCGGATTAAATAAAATATTAACACTTTTTTCTTCTATTTTAGAATCCAAAACTGCTGTTTGCCCATGATTTAAAGTGATCAAATGCTAAAGAATATTAGTGCAAAGCAACAATGTCTCACCAGAAGAGGTCTCACATGGCACAAACACGGGTGCTAAATGAAAACAATAAAGCATGATCAAAATGTGCAGCTCCACAAGAGTAGTACCTTTGGGATTAACTGTGTACAGATATGTCACGCTGACCAAAAAAAAAAAACCTCATGTGAGAGCATGGCAGGAGGTGGTCAATCTGCGGATTTATGCCACTGAGTGGTAACGTCGTATTAAATCTCTCTGACTCAGGATTGCTGTCTCTCAGTACACCATTCATAACAGGACTGGCCAAAAATGAATGACAAAAGTCTACCGCTTAAGGGAGAACATTTTCACTGCAAGCAAATCTGTACAGCAATTTTATAGGTCAATGGACTGATCCACTGTCTACTGAAACAACTGAAAACCTTTGCTACAAACCACCGCATCAATAAATGCACCATAGAGATTCAAACACACAATCAGTGTATTTTACTATATTTGAAATTTGTAAAGTCGACAAAGAATTTACTGCAAGGTAAGATTCAAAAGACAAAACATAAACTTTACAGCTGCTGATGTCAAAGACCTGTATCCTACAAATTCACCTGCAGAACTGCTTTGTGTAGTGCATTATTTGAGATGTAAGACTAACAATATTACAGAAACACTGTTTTTATTTGAAAAAAAAAAAAACCAATAAACACAATCCAATAATATTAAAAAAACCCAACATTCCTGTTGTATTATATGATCAGAATATTTTTTGTTTCTCGTAAGAACACGTTTCATAAATCTCTAATAACCATCATCTAGTTTTTTTTTTTGCAGAACACATGAAATAACACCAGCATAAACTTACAGGAAGATCTAATTTTAGACTAGACTAGCTTTGCTGTTTTCCTCTGTCTGAGGTACTGTGGACATGCACCTCTGGTTGGTTAGTGACCAACTGACTGACACAACATGAAATGAGGAGATCTCCAGGTGCTCTCCAGACACCTCTCAGCTTACGGGCATGCTGTGCCAGCCCCCTTCTGTTTTACCAGATCAGTTACTTACCATCCTTGCGGTAGTAGGTGATCTCCACCTTGCGCTCCTCAGACCCAAACACTGCCTGTGTCACCTGGTTGATGGCCTCTTTGTCAGTGAGGTCACCATGGAGGAAGTCACACGTGCATGGCTTCTGCATGATGTCTGGTCTTGAGAAGCCTGTCATCTCACAGAAGCCATCATTGCAGTAGATGATTGCACAGTTCTCCACCCTGGCGTTAGCTATCACAAATTTCCGGTCTGTGTGAAAGAGGGGAACAAATATATATGATCTGATGTGATCTCAGTGTAAACCATGGCTCACATATAATAACAGTCAGCAATCAAGTGAAGTGCATGGCAACTACTGAGTCTATATAATAATAATAACAACAATAATAATAATAATAAAACAAGAATCTAACATTTCAGTTTTATCCTTTTGTTTAAGAAATATCTTAACATAAAGTTAAACACACACACACAGACACACACGTATATACATATCTTATTCTGTCAATAACGTTTACTTTGTGCTATTTCTTTATCTGGTAGCAGAATTTGTACATCAACAAAATACTTACTCTGTCCCTCGAATTTCCGAATTATTATTCCAAGGAATGTGTTCTGTGGTGCAACGTGACCTCTTCTTATAGGCATATTTAGACAAAGAATATCCCGCGATCTTCAGTAAAAAGTGCCTCCACAGTAAATCCCCAAGTTGCAAAGGTTAGCTGTTTGTGGGGTTTCTTTTACCAAATTCGCTACACGCAAACACTCTTTCCACTTTAAATTACCTTTCTACTTTACCGTAGAGTTATTTATCCCGCTTGTATGACTGAGCATCTAAATGGCTCATCTCCGAAACGCGCGGAATCGGGGAGGATTGCTTGAGTTAGGTTTAGTTCGCAAAGCATTTCGCGTTGAGGTTGGGTGCGATCCTGACGTCCTCTGTCGCGGTGTGTTGAGCGCACACAGCGGACAGTGGTTAATATGCCAAGGGGAATGACGTTGCTCTCAGGGGGCTTAGCCCGCGTATGGATAAGTCCCAGCCTTGCGGAGCAACAATGAGCATTGCTGGAATACACTACAGTATGTGCTTACATACTGCCTTGTGTGTATGGGTGCGTGCGTGCGTGTGTGTTTGTGGTTGAGGGAGAGGGGGGTCCACATAATGACAGGAGACTTTTTAGTGGAGGGTGATAGTTAACAGCAGTTTGATAAAAATTGAAACGCACACATATTAACACTGGTAACTGACAAGCTGTTTTGAACTCTTAAATAACCGTTTATACATGTTTGATACTCTAGACTGCTGTAATGTTTGCTGTCCAACATCTACTTAGCGCTTTTTTCCACTTCACCGATTTGAATATGTAAGCTAACTCAGCGACCGCTGATTAATGAATTAATGTTCCTTAGCATTTGCAAACATTTCAAAAAGAGTCTAACCGCTTGTGAAATATGTTTATGTGCTTTGTTGAGCAGCCCACTAATTAACATATATCATTACTTTTTATAACACATGCGACATTTTAACCTGAGGCTATCTACTGTACTGTCTCATCACCCGAACCCCCACCGCTGGTAGGGGAATTATGCTAAATATGGCTACAGCTAGGCAACTCCTTACAGTGAATGGGCAGATATTAGAGTGGATTCTATCTTAATCATCGAGTCCTTAGTGAAAAAGCAAACAAAGACTTATTTCTATAACTGGAGAACTGTTTTTCTTTGAATGAGGAGAATTAGCATTTATGATATCTGGTGGTCTCCTAGAATCCACCCAACAAACAAGCAAACAAACATATAATTTTGCGGACAAAATGCACTTACCTTATTAATGTGTAAAATATTATACATGTAAAACTTATGTAAAACTTCAACAGTTATGTTAAACACCGTGTTATACAGAAACACCATGTACCATGAGCTTAAATATTTCATACAGGCACACAAAAATCAATCAAAAGTCATATAATTAGATTCGATATATAACCATACAGCGTTTCTTATATTTTTTACATTTTCTTGGGTTAGTGGGTCTGTGCAAGCTGCATTTGACTGACCTCCCTGATTCTTCTGTTAGTTTTCTTGTACCGTATGGATCAACTGCAGCTTGAGTAGATTCATATAGCTTGAGCAACTGGAAAAAATAATCCTATAGGTATGCTAAGCCCTTAAGAATCACTTTGGACATCTGTCCATTGCGTTAAAAAGACTAATAGATTCAAGTGATGGTGAAAATGCAGGGCGAGAGGCAGGGTACACTCTGGACAGGTTGCCAATGCTCATACATCCACAGTCCACTGAGAATAGCCAATTAAGCTAACATGCAAGCACCACACAGAAAAGACCTTGCTGACCAAGACATTCAATCCCCATATCTTTTTGCTGTGTGACAGCTGTTTTTCCTAACTTTCTCCTTCAAAATTCTATTTTACTGAAAAAGCAGTGACATCAGCTCAAGAAACATTTACAGTGGCCTGCACATGAATGTAAACCCAGAATCTAGACAACTTTTCAGCTTGTCTGCACTCAGTTTATGCCATAAACCGAGTGACCGAGTTTGTAGGCTTTTGCTTGGCTTGACAAAAGAGGATATGTGAGTGTAAAGTACTTTTTATTTTATTTATTTTACTTTAATGACACTATGTCCTTAAACTTACATACAGAACAAGTCTTTTGTGAATTTGTTTCATTTGTGAAACATTGTCAAAATGAGGAAAATCCTTTCTCATTTTGAGCGATGTTAAAAAAGTTGGTCACTACTTTTAGGGATTATTGTTATTTCTTATTTTCAGAATGTTCCAAACCCATGACTCAAAGTGTTTTTCAGTGGTTTTCCTTTGGTTCCTCCCAAAAAATCCAGAATGAAAATTTTAACTCTTTTCTTTACATACAAATCCTTTAATGACCATCTCAGCTTAAAAATCACCATATTATCTCAATGGAGAACGTTGCTCTCAGACACCACTTTTTAAAGCTTATGCTGACACATTCCTCTGTGGAACTATAGCTCTGATATTGTATTTTTCTAGGTAAACACAGAATTTGCTTTCAAAATCAGTATTAAAACCTTCCTGTAGCTATGCTGCTGTAAGCTGACACTGCTGGATAACTTCCCACGATGCACTGAGCATCTATCTTCTACTTTATTCTTTTTTTGCTGTCCATGCATTTATATGCCACTATATCATGTCATTATCATTGTGCCTTCTCTCCCCTATAGCTTTTTTCTCTCTCCCTGTACCTTTCTGCAGGTGCCTCAGGCTCTGTGGCTGCATGCTCCTGATTTGCAGTTACTTGTCTCTCCAGCCTGCCCGGTGTTTATTGTTACTGTATATAGCATTTCACTTTACTATGCTCTCTTTTTCTATCTTTGCTTTCCCTTCAGCCCAACCAGTCAAGGAAAATTCAGTAAAAGGACTAGATGTTACAATCCCTGATAATCCCTGAGTCGTGTATGGTCTTCATCAATCAATATAATGTGCAAATTGGATGTTATTGTAAAATCTAATATAAAATATTTAAATTTATGTATTACACTTTATACAATTATACAGAAATGTGCTTATTAAGTACTACTTAATACTACTTAATAGCATTTAGTATGCTGTATATATCTTGTGACACATTTTATGCTGGGGACGTATTTCACAGGTATTTTTAAAATATGCTGATTGGACAGTTATATATAATTTTTTTTCTTTTACCTTTATTTTTTACCCTTTTAGTTATGTATACGTATGTATGTATGTGTATATGTGTGTATATCTTTATCTATATCTATATATATATCTATGTATATATATATAGATATATATATATATATGACAAGCAAACCAAGCATAAAACATAAAAAGCTAACAAACATAAAAAAACTGTCCAGAAAAGTTGAGCACAGATTAGCAGTAGGTGCCTTTAACTGAGGTGCTGTCCATGGTGCTGTAGTTTCAGTACCACTGCCTGCATGCGAACATGACATGGAGCATAATGATGTGCTATTGTATCCTTGCAGTTTCTCTTTCTTTCTGTCTCACTCAGTCATTCGCTCTCTTAAGCTTTGGCAATTCTACACAAACAACAACCAGGTGGTTAAAAAAATGTATGCATAATGCAAAACCTCACTTACAGTCTTGAAACATCTGTCCCAGTATTTCAGCTTGACTTCTTCAAACAGCTGGCCAATTGTGAGTGAGAGAACATAATGAATAACTTCACATGACATGATCACATTCACAGATCATACATGGTGTACTTCATCACTGTCAGTGAGGACTTAAATATTTATACCTGTTTATTTCAATTCCAGCGAGCATGCAATTACCTGCTTTGTGGTTTATGCGCCTATTTAATCTTTTTCATCACAATATTATCATATTCCAGTTTAGTATTTACAGTGCCTTTGAACCTTGTCTGGTGTGTTATTTTGTTGCTTTGCACTGTACTTCTTGAGAGGCTGTGCCAAGCTGCAGGTGTGTCTTAAGATGAAAACACTCCTGTTCTTTTGCCCTACATTTTGAGGATTGGGGCAAACACGTGTGGAAGTATCTGCTTTTTTGTTTTGAACTGTTCTGGAACAAGAGTTTACTTTAGAAGTTAGCTTAGAAAGCATTTTTTGACTTTGAAGGTACTTGAAGGTACAGTAACATGCACAATATAATCACCCCTACCCCCGCCTCCCGTACCCATAAATGGAGACCTCTCCAGGCCTTGTGTGGTGTATTTTATCAGATCACTGTTGCATTAAGCCAGTCTGAAACTCGTATCCATTATTCACAACAAAAAACAGAGCTGAACCTTTCAAAGGAAAGCCATAACTCACTAACAATTAAGTTGGTTTTTTTAAAAAAAAAAAAAAGCTTTGCATTTTGGGAAGAAAATTCATTTGATTAAGTGTACAATGCATGGCTTGACACAGTGGTTGAAACCATTGCTTACATTGGTATGACCAATGTAGAAATATCGTTGTTATGTGTATTTCACTTCTATGAACACAACTAATTAATACTGGCATATATGCTGACTTGTAAAAGCAAAGGGTAGCAATGCGTGCATGATTGTGTGGTATTAGCTGAGAGAAAATAACGTTCCCGTGCCATGACGAGCTGTGTGCCTTGGTTCTGTCGCATACTACTACTTCAGCATGCTTGTTCACCTCACAATACATCTGCATCATACTTGTGAATTAGACAAATTATTATTTAATGTAATATATTACATCAAACTTTTTACATCAAATAAAAAAATCGCATTGTGCCGGTGCTGGTTTGCTAGGAGAGCGAAAATAAAGAAAGGGTTTTTTTTTACACATTACCATTAATTCATTGCTATTAGCCAAACTTCTATTCATATGTATTTAATTTTCTAAGTGGCTAATGGGGGTTAAAAGCCCCATGCATTAAATTATGTCATGTGGAAATGTTAAATACCGAATATCAGATATGACAGTTTACATTAAGTCCAAGTTGAGATCATCAATCCGATGAACCGAATGCACTCTACTCAGTTATCAATGTGATATTAAGCAAAACCTCAAACCTGCACTATAGAGTTCTCAGCATTAAATCTTCCAACAATGACATGCAGTCATGCCATGTAGCAAACAATATGATCGCGCTGCGGTTAGTAATTGGTCTGTTGGGTTACAGTAGTTTCAGGTTTGAGTGATTCTGAGAGTGGTTTCGTGAAGAAATAGCACCCAGTTTCAAAACACTGTCTTAGATGGCATCCATCATTTGAGCAACAAAATGAATGCATACCTGCTCAGACAAAGACTGCCGTTCCACAGCTGTGGTTAACTGTCACTAGTAGGAAGGTGGAAATAGAAGTTGTGCATAAAAATCACAATCTTCGTGTCATATCAAAAGGCATTACATTGCATTGCATTATAGAATGGCATTCTTAAATAAATCATAAGGTGTTTTTTAACAACATCAAATGGCATGCATTTCTAGATATTGTATGGTAATTTTGAAAATCACACGCCTTTTCATTCATTCATTCATTCAGTCGTTGCACATAATCTCTGAGATTTTAGAGCAATCTGAGCCACCAGAGCAGCATGCACTGTCCAGAGCCTAATCCAGGTCTCACGGCAGTAGTGCGCTTTCT